TGTTGAAACGGCCATATATTTCAATCGTCGACTTAGATTGTGCCAGCAAAGCAAAGTATTGCAACGGCTCCAGTTTTTTTTTGTCAAACGTTCATGACCTGTTTTTCGTTTCACTTCAGGTATCTGTTTTAGTGGAGCTTACAAACGCACATGATACTGTGTATTAAACGGTCTGTTTGAGTTGGGAGGGGGGGAGAACAAACTGAGGAAGATGTGAAAAACTTGAATGGAGCACACTCGACTTAATAACGGAACATTTTAGACGCGATATCGATTGGAATAAATTCAATCAAGCGCACAGAACAAAAATCCCATAGCATATAATTCAATTTTCGTCAATGGATACTAACTCGACGTTTTATTGATTACATTTCGTGATTCGATGCGATTCTATTTTTTTTTTTGCATTGCCTATCGAATGACATAGAAAAGCCAATAAAAATGAATGAAGGAAAAAAAACTCGCCTCACTCATTGAATGATGTTTATCACCGTCGGTTCAAGATAAGTGAATAATAAAACCCGAACAAAGTTATCACTAACACATTGCTTAGATGTGCTATATAAATTACATCCACTATGTCATAAAAAAAAGATTGAGCTCTATGAGATATGGATAGTTTGAGACTAGAACTATAAGACTCATTTTACATGAAAATCACATCAAGAAAACAAAAAAACAACATCAACAATAAAAAGATCAAGTACGAAAAGGAAACTTTAATACTATTGATTTACTTTATTACATATTTAATCGCGTTTATTTAATTTGAATGCATGTAAAGACCTTAAAGATCGAATAGCGAATCGAAAATATTTTTTTGAAAACTTTCGATATAAGTTTCTTCGATTCGAATGAAATACGTTTCGATGGTCGAATTTATACGCATACAAAAAGGTGTGCAAGAGGTGCAATATTTTTTACGGCATATACACGTATAATATTTCCTATTCGCATGCATTTGCTAGATATTATTATTACAAGCAACGCACCAGTATCAAGCTATTGTTGAAGCCGAACGAAAAGCAAAAAACTTAAAAATAATCCAAGCTAACAAAAAATTCCCACTTTCGGTCTTCTAACGATCGTACGATAATAATTTAGTGTGTTTGAAATATAACAATGGGCTGTAATCAGTTTTGCGTTAAAAGGCGAAATTGTGCATACATTTTGCTTGGCTTGCAAGCACACCGGCAATCGTCAGGTACACACATAGTAAACGTTTTTAATAAAATAAATGATGATTCCATTTTGAACTCTTGTAGTTGCAGTTGCCAAGCGAGTGCACAACGCGTTCAATCCATCTCAAAGCATTTTATATACAAATAAATAATTAATTACAACAAGCTTGAATTTATATAGCAGACGAAGAAGCATATATAAATGCTCCGAAGAGAAGAGAAGCAGAAAAAAAAACACAACAACGAAGGAATACAAACGCTTTATGCATTTTATTGCCAGTCACATGGCCAACCGTTGTTTCAACGAGCGATAATAAAATAATCTAAAAAGACTGTATTTAAAGTAAGTAGAAAAAAAAGAAAGTCAACATTTTTATATAGAAATATAAATAGTGAATCTCAGCTCTCTTTGTTTAGACAAAATGCTCAATCACCCAATCGTATGCAAAAAGATTTTTCGGACGCTCTATTGGAAATACCATGGAGTCAATGAAATGGTTTTGCCTTTTTTGTAAATAATTTCCGAAATAACAGTCAAGAGAGTGATACATAAAAGTAAATAGAGAGGGAGAGTCTCGCTTTGGTACTGCTTGGGATGATGATCGTTTGATTTAAAGCATTCAAAAGTTTTGCTCACTGATGAAATTGCGTCTCTCATTTTGGTACATTCCTGCTACGTTTGCTTCTTTCTTCTCTATCTCTCTCCCCCCCCTCTCTCTCCTTTTCATGTACTTAAAATTTCGGGGCATATACGACGAACCCAATCCATGTGCACATATGAAACACACAAAAAAAGCGGTGGCTATATAAGCACTCGCTCGAGACTAAAGCACAAAAATCGACATAAAATACGACAAAAGTTCATTCGCGGTCATCTCTGCTATTTCTGGTTTTATATTCTGCAATTCAAAGTCAACTATGTCTCACAAACAAAGGAAAGCTTATTCCGTTTTTACACACTCTACACACAAACCGAATGGGGAACAGTGCGCGGTCCGTTTATCAATATACATATAGATTTACGAATAGTAATTACAATAACAACAAAAACTTTTCGAACCTTATTCGTCACCTCCGACGCAATAGAGAACATAAATTGTATTTAAAATGTTGCCAGCAAACACAATGCGCAATTGTTTTTTCTCTCTGCTTCTTCTTCTTCCAAACGTTCGATCATTGATTTAATTTATTTTGCATTTATAAATATAATAAAGAGTACGGAAACAAAGTGTTCGCCACAAATCAATCGAATTATATTTTACATGTATATGATGGATCATGAAATTGAAAATCCATGTGCAATAAATACGTTTTGCAAAATTCGATACAGCAATTGATGATTGAAACATCTGAACTGCGCATAAATTCCATTAAAATTCAATTAAGAAATAACAAAGTAATAACGTAAAAATCTGGTTTATTATCTAAGCGACTGTAATTAAATTGAAACATTAAAATATTCGTTTTTATTTCTAGCTCTTCTTCACAATATTATCTTGACACTCTGAATTCAGTTGAATACTTAAAACGGATGGATAAATCACTTCCACCGAAATAAAATGCCATTCACCGAAGTACGAAATTTAGCATGAACAATATGCCAGAATGCACGAAACGTGTTCAATCATGTAAAAATAATATATATCTATATGCATATATTGTGACCGCTTTAATTTCGACCCACATGGAAAAAGATGGGACGTGGTGTTTTATTATTATTATTTCTTTTTTTTCCCTTCTGTTATTGTCTCTTTGCTGCGATCCACATTGTGCAAAGCATTCTAAATCTTTCGTTTGTATTGCCGTCTCTTCGTTTCTCTATCAGAACAGTGTTCGTTTCTCAAAGTGTGTTTATTACTTTTGGCGAGTCTGTTGTATTTGTGCGTGTCCATGTATAGCCGAGTTTAGTGTGACGATGCCTTAAGCATGCATTTCTATTAAGCGCAGACATGACAATTCATAATTACGAATAAGTATTTGAGAGAGATAGATCCGAAGAGAGAGAGAGGCACTGAAACGAATCCCAAATATGCGAGACAAAGAGACATACACGGGCTCACATACACACGACAATCGATGTGGAAAATCAGAAACATGGAAAATTACATCTGAATTCTAAATCTTTTCCGAATAATTAGATCGAGAGAGCGTGATGTTTGTCGATGCTTTTTGTTTTCAACAGCAGTCAACATGTTTTTTTTTTTTTTTTTTTTGATTGGATGTCTATTGAAATTTTTTTTTATAATTGTAATTGTCGTTGTTGATCTATTTTTTTTGCCATACCTTTTCGACAATTTTAATGATATATATTCGTTTTATTGTAATTAAGTGAGCAAATGTCGAACGATGTGAAGTTGAATTGTCAATTCAACCATAAAATAGATGGAAATGGCCAATGAACGATTTCTGCCAAAGTATTGTCATTTACAATATATGTATATATATACGTTTGTGCTTTTAAGTATTCTTTACATCCGAAAGAAACGCAACAATCAACAACACGAACGCCTTTTACATTCGAACGTAAAAAAAATTGCTTCAGGTGATCCAATCCGATTATTCAGTAGGGTGTTGCGAAAAATTAATTCGGTCAGAATTTGGCTTGATTTTAGTTGTAGTCGCTCGCACAGTTTGAACTTTGAATAAACGGTTTACATTTCAGTATTTTATTTCCGTCGAACGAAAACAATGACAAGTCACACGGTTGCATTTACTAAGTGCACAATAATTCCGCATAAAATCATGTTGAACACGACCGTGTTACCCTTTACACATTGCCCGGCAACTTTGATCGCTTAACGATTCCGGAATATTTTCAAATTGAGCAGCACTCTAACAATTGATTTTCAATGAAAAAAACAAAAATCGATCCAACGATATAATGAATTCATCGTATATTTTTTGCATGTTTATTCGTACGACTTTCTTACTCTCACTTAAGTATCTGGGAAGCTGGTTGGTAATGCGAAGAAAGAAGAGAAAAAAGCAGCAATGTATATGTATATACAATGGATATTTTGTATGAATGTATACAAAAACATATAATGTAACGAAGAAAAACACAAAAATTCATTAAACAAACCGAAAAAAAGAGAAAAGCCTTTATCATAAACATCGTTTTCAATGCATTGGATTGCATTGCGTTATGTTATTTCGCCATTATTAATATTGTTTTAACTGCTGTTTTCGTTTCGACATTTGCACTTATACTATGAACATCGCTTAATCGAATGGTGAAATGTCAAACGCAATGATGTTAGTGCGCATTTACTCTTATATGTATAACATATACGAGAGACGAGCATAATCATAGGAGATTTGGTCAGTGAATGCGAGACGACCCATTTGTGTCGAATCAACGGAGCATTCGCTGAAATGTTGTTCAACTACTTTAAACTGTACATGAATCACTTGAGAGCACGAGCGAACAAGGGAGAGAGAGCATATTAACAAAAATCAACATAAATTTGTTTTTGGGTTGGGTGTTTTTTTTTTGACGATTTAAACCAAAAATTAATTAAAAAAATTGAACGTTACAATTGAGTCAAGTCACCAATTCCTTTCGGTTACCTTGGTTTTTCAACATAGACCTTTTCAACTCAATTTATCTAATTGCAAATAAACCAGTAGTAGCTAATGATGGCGACATGCAAAACTCAGCCGTGTTTTTTTCCTCTTTAGTTTACTTTTTTGTTTTGTTTTGCTTTTTTTCTCCGATACAAAATTGGAATCCTTATCATTTGGTAAATATATGCATATATGTGTGTGTGCATGTATGTATTTTAAATAAGCGAAACAAAAAAAAATAATAATACATACCTTGCCTGAATAAAATGTTGTTCAAACGTCCACACAGCTGGCATACACTCGTTGATAGACGTGGGCTGACATACATGAATAGCACACAAAACGGACAGAACAACAAGTTTTCGCGAAAGGTTTTGAAGAAAATGAAATTCTATGCCGACTGTGTCATTTCACTCCGCATTTTGGTTGCTGCGCTTGAAGATGTCGAAACTCATTGCCATTATTTCCAGAATTATGTGTATGTATGTTTGTGTGTGTGTGTGACTTATGCGTTTTTCTACTTCGTTTGTTCAACCAAGGCTATTCTCGATTCTAGATTTGACTTTTTTTTTTCTTTTCGCTGATTTTTGTTCCTCTCCTCATAGGTTAACTGCTTTTCAAAATGTTAGATCGATGCGAACATGGGCAATTTTTTCTCTTCTCTTCTTCTATCCCTTTTTTTATTCAGTTGTATTCTATTGCGTTTGTTACAAAAGAATTACAAATTCAGCGCTCGGACTTGGTGATAAATTTTTGCAATTTGTGATGAGAACTTGATTTTCATATATCAAAATGGAATCGAGCGAAAACAAAACGAGAATTGAAAAACACCAACAAACAAAAAAAAATAAACGTAAAACAAAAATAATAATAAAAATGTAAGCAACTAGCAACAACAATAACAACAAAGTAAAACACACGCACAACAACTGTCCTTCCTCAAGTCACTGTAGTTCTTCGTTTTGGATTAAACATTCGTGCATTTATGAGTGTGCGTGACAATGTGTTACACTGTACTTTTTTTTCTATACGAAATTCTATTGGCCAATATGCGATATGTCTTTTTATTCCACAAAACTAATCATTATAAAAGAAAAATAACAGAAATTCGATTGGTTGCCAGTGTCTGTTTCTTTGGTCGTTCCAAATGTATGCTCGATTTGATTTTCCGTTTTATTTTTTATTTTTTATTTTATAATAGTCGTTTATTTGCTGTAATCGTAATTATTTGGTCATTCGATTTTGTTGGATGAATTTCAGGCGATTTCTCGACATCCCAATGCTGACTTTCATTATTTCCCAATCGGATATGACACTGGTCGCTTGTTCAATGCGACATTCAACTAGCCCGTAGTTTTTGTGTAACTCATGGAATAAATTTACACAAAACAACGCACTTAATTTACAATATACGTTCCTCACTTAATTGATGATTCCATCGCCCGAAATTCACTTCAATTCGTTTCATTCGTCGGTTCGATTTGCTTTGGGGTTTCTGTTGAATTATTATGTATTTGATTTTTATTTATTTTTTTTTTTTGTTTTTCAAATGTGATTTTATGTCATATTTTCAGTGTTCAGTTTGTTCATCGTTGTCAATCATAAAATTTAGCATTCATTCGAAACGAATACGGAGTTTTTGCTAATATCAGTTTATAAATGGTCCTCTTGTAATTCAACATTGTCAACTAATGTATTTGTTGCACGAATTTTGATTATTCGCAGGAAAAAAAACTTGTGACATTTTCAATTGAATAGTTCGAAACACCCCAACGAAAATTTCAACCAAATTTTTTACCAAAAATAAAACAAACTTCAAATCGCACAGAAGTGAAAATTCCACCAAACTGAATATTGAAATTCGTAGTCTAAATCACTTTTACTGAAAGAGATCAGTAGACACCAACTATGAAAAATGTGGAAATTCTCTTAACCATGAGAATAAGTAATACACGAGTTTCTCTTTTTTTTTGCTCTATCTCTCTATCTATTTTATTTAATCAAATAATCTCTCAATCTAAATGGAACTTCACTTTGTCATATTCGAAGATGAAAAATCAATTGAATTTTAGCATTTCACTTCAATTTCTGATGCAAACTTCTTTTTTTTTACTCAAGCGGATTGTTCACGTTTTAATATGAAATTTTCATTTGATTGCTGGTTTCGAGCTACTGTCGACTTGTATTATTTCAACCAAGATTCATTATGTGTTTTTATTTTTCAACATACATGATGCACAAATACATGCACACGTTCAACACATTTACATTCGTTCACACGGCACATTCACATTTATTGATATGAAGGTTTCGTATATATAGTTGTAATGGTCGTGCTACTTCATACGAAAAGTAAGTGGATGTCGTTTCGGATTTGTCTGTGTGAGAGAATGTATGGTGAAATGGTGTGATTGTGTGCGCCTGTCACGTCTTCCTTTGTTGTAGTTGCGTTGCTGTTATTTCTCTGTGTTTGTGTTTTTTGCTCATACGAAACATAACATACAATACTGTGTGTTTTCTTTTTTTTTCAATCAGCTGTACAGCTACTTTTTTGGTACTTATGTGTCTCTCTTCTGTGTCAAATACAAATACGTCGTTATGATTAACTAAATTTGTATGTTGAATCTGACCAAAAATGTTGATTCAAAACATTCCATAGTTAATAGAATTCGTTTAATTTTCAACCAAATTGAGATGTACGCAATAAAAACCATTCGAATGGGTGAAAAGTCGTAAATAGACAAAAAAAAAGAGCAACAACCAAATAAATAACGAACCGATTTTGTTTCTTTTGATAAACTTATTCATAGATGGCCCCTTTACTGGCTAAGTATATGTCGGTTTATTATTCTAATGTGCAACGCATGTATTTGTTCGCTGCATATTGAATATTTTGAAGAAAGGCGCCAAATTTAAACGTTCGCATGAACACTATAAAGTCTTTCTATTGAAATTGTACGTAATAAGTAATTCCTATTTTTATCTGAGAAAAATGCGCATTAAGTTGATGATTCTGGAAATTCATTCAAATGTGCGATGCAATCCAAATGTGGGCACTACAACGTCAACGAAATTTATACAACTTCGAGTTCAATAATTCAAAGAGCGTTGAACCAAGTACAAAAGTAAATTATAAGAAACTTACCGATTTTTTTTCTCTCCCTCTCTCTCTCTCTATCTCTCTTCGGTGCTGACTATTTTCGGAATGGGTTAAAATTATAACTAAAAAGATTGAAATTGTACCAAGTTGACAGTTGACAAACTGTACGAATATTTTGCGATGAAACGTAATTCATTTATTTCCATCCTTATAACTCGTTTGGAGTTCAATGATTGACTTAAAAATTGATCGTTTGGTCAAGCAACGATTTTGTTATCTTGTAAACAGTTTCAAGTATTTTCCTTGTAAAAATAAACAGCAATTTAGAATCCATCACAATCGCATATTTTGGGCTGAAACAAACAAAACGACAAAAAGAAAGCTAGACACAGATCGAGTCAAATATCTTTGTGTTTATTGTATAATATCCAAAAATCTATAATATAATATCGCTGCAAAATACTTGAATATCAATTAAGCCATCAACGACACATGTAAATATCATAATGGAAATCAAAAGATGATCATCATTTTTTTTGTTCCTTTTTTTCTAAATTATGAATATAGTAAAATAGTAAAAGCATTTTATTATCTTTAATTTTCTTTCTTATCATTTTTTTTCTCATTCATTTGCTCCAACAATCTTCCTTTTTTTTTATTTGGGCTGTCAGACTTTGGTCGTTTTGAGAGTCTTAATGGTCCAATGCCCATAATATTGACATTTTTGTGGATTTTCACTTCAAATTATGGTAATGAAATTTTAATATTATGGCATTGGACAAAGAAAGTCTCAGAGGCGACCAAAATCCAACAGCCTTATTTGGGGGTGTAATAATTTGCAAAAAATTATGGGATGTTTTTCTGCTCTTCTCGATTTTTTTTCTTTTGTTTTATCGAATGCCGATTCACGTTAAAATTATTTCTTTGCCACCAATCGAATCACAAACTTCTCCACACATCCCTATATATATACGTTCAATCAGCAGAATTTAAATTTTTATGACACATTTTTTTTTAATTCATAGTTTTTTTTTATTTTTTTTTTCGTCGAAATCAATAACATGACTTGCTCTAAATACGCACGAAACATCAATGATTTAAAAGAGAAGGAAGAACCTACGTGAGTATGTAATTTTATATTGTTTGCTGATGTTGCATTGGTGCATTGATTGATCAATTGATTGTTACATTATCGATTGAGTTGTTGTCCTTGTTTCTTAAGATTTTTTTTGTTAATTTTGCATTTTGTGTGTGTATGTGTGTGTGTGTTTGTGTTTGTGTTTGTATACATATATTCGTTTGAATAAGCTTTCATTTGAAATTCGTTTTCAAATTTTTAATTACTGTATTTTGCACGAGAAACAAAAAAGAGATTTATTTGATTTTATGTTACAGTGCGAAAATCAATGTTTCGTCAACATCTCTGTTTGGTTGTAAAATCAGTCTTGAATAATGCCTATTGAAAGCCAACTTGCACCACTTTTTTGTTGTGTTATTTTTGTTTTCGTTTTCTTTCGTCAATATGCGTGATGAGTGTGTTTTTTCATTAATCTGAAATATCTGAATGTATTGAATTGGTCATTTTGATAATTCATGAGAAATTAAATATGCTTGAAAACACAAATTAAAATACCGAAAGAATGCATCTATTTTCTATGGTTTTCAAGAAATTTCTTTTCAAATTTTTGGAATTCATATTATTTTGTGATAAAATAACGTCACTAAAATAATCTAACGGACCAAATAAAAAAAATATATATTGTGGAAATGATTTTGATACCGTGTAAATGTTTAGCGTCAGTTAGTGCGTAACATAAATGCAATTTAATAACATTTTTTATGATAAAATTCATATTAATCATCAAAATCAAATGTTAAATGTGCAAAAAGAAACGAGCAAAAATAAAAAAAATGTGATACGTACTCTTCATAAAGGAAACCGTCTTTTGAAATGTCAACTGCTAGCAAGTTCGTAAAAAAAAACGTTTGTGCATCAATTTGTTGCTCGTTTTTTGTTATGTTTTGGTGCGTCCAAATATATACATGATAAATGAATCGGAGATAGAGAGAGAGAGAGAGAGAAGTAATGTAACAGAGTGAAAACTTTGATTGACCGTTTGTTTTTCCGTAAATATTGCGTCTAAAATAATGAATTGAAGTTAGCAATGAGTGTTTTTTGTTTGTTTGTTTGTTTGTAAGGCAATTTTTTTTCGATCTACTCCATAATAGAGAACATTGAAAGCATTTATTAGAAGCCAGACTTCGTGCCAAATATATATATATATTGCACACTTCGATTTAAATGTTGCTTCTTTCTGATTCAACTGTTCTAATAATAATCGATTCTGGTTTTTCGTATATTTTCCTATAAGAAAACCGGCTGTATGCGTTTTTGTTTTGTTTAAGTTTCGTTTCGATCGTTATTGGTTGTGAAAATCGCACAATTATCGTTTGTTTGTTTGTTTTTTTTTCTCTTATTTAAATTTTATCAGTAATAAATATGCTTCTTGTGTGATGGAAAGAAAATGGTGTTAACACCTACGTGAATGCGTTTGTTTTTTCTTATCATTTTGTTCTGGTTTATTTCATTATTTTCATGTTTTTTTTTTAGTTTTCATTTAATTTCTTGTAGTTGCTTTTGTTTTTGTTAAAATATAATTAAAAAAAATTGTTTATATACGTTAATATTAATATAAAAATTATTGGACTAATGTTAGTTTGCAGTACCACAAGCATAAATCAATCATTAGCGCATTCGAAATTTGTCATTTAAATTGTTTTTTTCTTCACGGGGTAATGAATGATATTTAGGCCTTGCTTTAATGCCAATTAACATGTTCTCCGCACAATATTCGGCTTAAAAACGAGAATTGTTTAGCTGCTTCATATCTTAACACAAATGATTTTCATTTATTATTATCATTTCGAAAATGATATATCTCCTTTGGTTTAGCCAGTTTCATTTTCCACCACTGACATCGACAATTTGTTCCAATCGATTTTTATTTCTTTTCGCTTGGAACAATTGTACAATCATGAAATTTAATGGTTTTTTTGTTTGTTTTCTCAGTAAAAATGAAAATTAAATACAATCAAAAATGAAAATGAATTATGACGGAAAATCAAACATTTCGAAACTGAATTTACAAAAATATGCTATCGATAAAAATTTCAATAGCAAATTGAAAACATTAAATAAATCAAATGGAGCACATAACATTAAAAAATTTCATCATCATTCACATGTCTTGAATACTCAGTTTTTTTTTATAAAAAAAAAGAGAAATGTACATTATTTTATTTAAAATGTACTTGATCATTATGTAAGTAGTAATTTTATTCAAGCCATGTGATTGAAACGGCAACGATATGCATTGGATATGTAATCGCAATTCAATAGTTTTGCGTTTGCAAACGGAAAACGAAACGAACAAAAAGAAAACGTAACAAAATCAAAAACAAATAAAATGTTAACGATACGTTTACAAATTGCCATCGTTATTTTCATGATTTCGACACAGTATTTTTCTAGCTAAACCAACAGCTTCTTCTCAGAGTATCTCACAACAGCGACAATATCTGGGCCGAGCACCGGATGTGGTTGGTGGTGGTGTGACTGGTGCAAAATATGCATGAACTTTGATATTTGGGAGGTGATTCTGCGAATTAAAACCAAAACAATATTTATTTATTTGTTCAGCAGCTTCGTTCTGTTTTTTATAGTAATATTCACCCTAAGTCGACGAATTGCAGCCCGTGTGATCATTTGACAATCGTACAGTTCGATTCTTTGTAAATTATGACATGATACCAAATGTTCGAGTGTCTGATCTGTAATCAATGGACAATTGTCCAGTTCTAGAACAGATAAACTTTCAGCCGCACAACTGCCCGCAGTCAATTGTCGAATTCCATCGTCCGTAATTAATTCACAGTGAGATAGTGTCTGCAATGAATGATGTGTTGTATTGAAGAAATTCTGAACGGACAAAAGTAACATAAAAAAATATATGAATATTTACCAATTTTTCTAGGCTTGGACAGCCAGTAGCCAAATGTGCCAATGTTAGGTCGGTGATTTGATTGCACTCTTCTAAGTCCATCCGTTCTAAATACTTACAACTCTAAAAAATATGAAAAAAATGTATCAGATAAATGATCGCCACAATAAAATGAAAAGCAGCTCAATTACTTTGCCCAATGCTTGAAAGCCCAAATCGGTGAATTGATGACAACCAGCGACTTCAAGCGTATTCAGTAGTGGATTGTGTTGTGCTAGTGACGTTAGTGTGTGATCAGTTAGTTCAACACATTTCGATACGCAAATCTGTTGTAGATCCAAGCATGTTTCGCTAATTCTTTGGATGGATACATCGGTGATGCTCTGCATCAAATCAAGTAAATGAAATGAAAATATCAAATCGATTATTATGAATCATTTTTCTGGCATTTCAATTTCACGTGTGTACACATACATCACAACTGTGCAAATTGAGTACTGTCAACGATTTACAATATGTTGCCAAACAAATAACAGCGCTATTATTAACTTGTTTACATCCTTTGCTGCTGAATCGTCTTAGTTTTGGACAACCTCGTGCAAGCGCCTCAACGCCATTTTCAGTTATTGAATCACACCACGAGATATTTATCTCCATTAAATTCTAAATGCGAATTTGAATTGAAATAAAATGATTTAGATCAATTTAGGTAAAAAAGAAATTGGCTTTTAAAATTTACCGAGCATCCATCGGCGATATTTTTTAAGGTTTTGTCCGTGATATTTACGCAAGACTCCAAACTGATTGCCGTTAGTTTTGAACAATGTTTACTGATTGCGTAGATCGCTTGATCGGTAATTTTTTTACAGTCAGATAGGTCTAGTCGTTCGATATTATGGCAGTGTTGAGCAAGTGTTCTGAATTTTTTTTACATAATTCAATTGGAAATTCATTAAGATTAGAAATTAGATGGTAAAGTTAAAGCATCAATATATTGAAGCCATCAATTTGAAGGTGTAAATTAATGATTACCTAATTGATTGGTCGCCAACCGATTGACATCCACGCAAGGACAAATACTTTAGAAATCCTCCACATCTTTGTGAAATGTTCTCGATGACCGGACCCTAAAAATCACAATTGTATTCAGCATACAAAAATTATGGTTGTCCACATGAAAATTAATTAAATTTGCTCAGCACTCACCTCAATATCTCGCTGGAAATCAAATAAATCGATTTTCTGCCAATTTGATCCATCTAGTGCTAGAATATTCCAGTATTTGCTAACCTATATGCAATATATAATCGAATTCGAAATAAAATCGAGACGCCCACCATTTAATGCAAATTATATAAAGAATAATGTTTACCTGTGCGCATCTGCATAATGAAATCACATCCAAAAACGAAAATATTCGTAAAAGTATCTCTCGTGGTAGATTTTTGGTAATTTCTGTATCGTCCGATTCGAAAAATGAGTGCTAAAAAAACAATAAACAGAAAAAAATAATATTATTCATTTTCAAATGACGAAGTATAACTGAAAATTCAACGTTTGATTCCAAAGCCCATAATTCATTGCACTTTTTGATTCGTTTCGTAGACATATTTGAATGTTTGCTAAAATCTTTGTCTCAGTTGTTGACAAAACGATTTATCATTGAAATGATAATCTTCGGTTTGCGGCATCATAACATTTTTTTTTTAAATATGCGGCTGTGTGTCATTGCAGTTGCTATGCAAGTACATCAAAGGAATTTCCAAGTTTAATCAAATTTTCTTTAATGATTCATGAACTGTATAATATATACGATTGACGTCGTTGATTAAAGTGTCGGTAATGTGTAAAACACTGCTCAAATATTGTTGAAGACATAAAAAAACATTAATTTGGTTTGACGCGTCATTTCTTGCTTTTTGTGTGGAATGTTCAAAAGTTGTTTTGGCTGGTGATTGAGACACACACAGAAGAGAAGTTGGAGTTTGATGAAAAATAAAACCGAATACCACTCATCAAACATATACATCGTGTACAATTAGCTGTGGAATACATGGATGTGGCAAGAACATTGACATCTAGTACATGTCTCATTTGCTCATTCGTTCACTCACACACTCATTCTCCTTTTAAATTGCGTCTGGTTGATATTTTTGATCCAATATTCTCTTGTGTCGATGTTGGTGTGAAAAAGAGTAAGAGCGAAAGTGATAGAATGTGTTGAACTTATGACGATGCCTTTGGCTCCATACTTTGTTTTGCTCGCATATTCTGTATATAAATATACCCAGCCATAAATAGAGATATATTTTCGATGGCAATGTACTCTGTATATGATTCGTCGCAGTTTTCGAGTTTTGCCAAAAAGAAGTTTGGTTCAGTGCTCTGGTCGTGAGCCCGTTTCACAAAATATATACAGAATATATTCCTGAAGTCACTTCTCCATGCGCAACATTCAATATTACACCAGTTAAAAAAGCTGCTGCTTTATATTCACATCTTTTTTCGCTTTTTTCGCACTCTTTCTCAGTCTTACGCTCACTCCCCGTCTTTCGCTCTTTATTTTCTTTATTTATTTTGATATTCAGTACTGGGGGAGAACGTCTGGTCTCAAAGAGGAGAGAGATGGTGCGGGAGACATGCGGTCAATTTACTCTGCACAACATATCACTCCAATTAGGTTCGATTAAAAAGAAACGCAGACAGAGAATCCTTGCGAAAAATGTCTGGAGTGCACTGACCGTATTGAATTTCCAGATTTTCTTTGTTTGCTCTGGTCGTGATGGCTTGTTTTTATTTTACTTTTTGCCATTTCGCTTAATAAACTGTCGTGCTAAGTGGAGCGCATTCATCTGTATACAATGTCATTTGTAATTTTTCTTTCACCAATGTCTAAAATGACAACGATGAACAAATTAAATTTTCGTAACATTAAAAAGCTTCATTTGAGATAGTTGCAAGCGGAAGCTTGATAGATTTTTTTTTTTTTTTAAATAAAACGAAGCAACTAACATCTAAGAATTGCTTTGAAATGCGAAATAGGTTCGAAAGTTCATGCGAATCGAGATATATATATGTAAATTTAATGTCAATAAAGTTCATTGTGATTTGACGCTGAGTGATACCCTTTTCTGTTGAATGTTTACATATTATTTGATTTGTTTGATTTAACGATGGCGTCGGAGCAAAACTTTCTACGCTTCTCATTTGATTTAAAGCGTGATATGTGTGCTCTCTATTTCGCTTTTATTTTATATATATAGATTAGTTTCCATAGTGTATGAAAGACATTGATCTATCGGGGGTTCTTGCAGTCAATGAATTGTTCACATTGTAATTTGAGCAAATTCATACGTGCTTCGAACACTTTTTTATAAAATATTGTGATATGTCTATGTCGTTGTTTGTTACCATATTCACAGTGCTTTGACCGCAGTTCGCATTTCATACAATTTTAATATGCTCATTTCGTGCGATTTCTGAAATTGCGTCTCAATTTGCGAAATAAATTGTATTGTATCATGCATACAATTCACATCGTATTCCTTTGTTTTATCGAACAGTTTCGTTAGTTCAATGGCTTTATAGTTCTCAGGTAAATTTCCTACTTGCTGAAAGTTGGCTTTAACATCGATTCATAAATAATCGTGAATTTGGTATTCAATCCATAGACAGAGGTTTCGTGGTTGACTCTTTTGTACAGAAATATGAGAATGATAATATGTATGATATGAGGTAATTTAAACGTGAATTAATTCCATTGATTTGAATTTTATTGGTAAATTTTGTGAATAAAAAAAAGGGACACCATCATATCGAATTCACCATCAATAAATTATTGGAGTAAGCTCATGAGCCAAAGTCCGACAAACATCGGTTTGTGATCAATTGCATACATGAAAATCAATTTGCGGCCAACACAAACCAGTCGAAATAAATCGCTCTCTCACATCACTATATACATGAAATTGCGATTTCAATTTATCGTGTATGCATACATATGCACGATTCATGCAAACACTACAGATAGATAGCCATCTCATTTTTTATGGTAAACACAAGTGAACGCAAAAGAATACAAAAGATCTCGATGTTCCAGCTCAATTATATATGTATAACGGCGACGACGACGTCGACGACAATAAACATTAGATCCAAGAAACGAAAAATAAATAAAATAAAATGCATAACAACAAATCGACAAACAAAATTCATGCATCGTGTTCGCGCAATAACATATAATCAGCTGTACGTTTTTTCGCAAACGTTCCGAACGCTCTCTGTGTATGTCTGTGTATACGAAAAAAAGGTGGCGAACACGCAGCTGAGAAATGATATTAACAATGAAATGCGCATTGAATTCTCGATGTTATTTCTTATTTTTTTTTCGTTCTTTGTTTGAGCTCACTCTCGGATTGGTTATAATTCCTTTTTGGATGTAAGAAAACAAGCACTTCTTATCGTTTTGTAACCTGAAAAGGACACATAATCACATTCATTGCCTCATTCAAATTCTGTTTTTATAAAGTGCGTTTTTGTTTTGAATTCTGTTGTTGTTGTTGTTGTTTTGCTTTGTTTATAGTCGCAACCGAAGAATAAAACTCCGGTACACATTTGAGCAATTGTTTTGTTATTTTTTCCAGTCGAAATCAAATGTCAATATGCGTGTGTGTGATTTGTAATTTTCTTTTGAATTCATTTTTTTTTTAATGCGAAACAAATTTTATATACTCAAATTAAAAATAGATCGAATTTAAATTGAATGGCAATAAAGGAAGTTGAAATTATGCGCCAGAAATTGAAACAACTAAACAACGCAATTTAATGAAAGAAAACATGGAAGTTGTGCAAATTTCATCATTGTTGTCGCACATTGCTTCACTCCACTCAGTTTCACTCTCTTTCCACACAAAGTACGTGCCTCGACAGTCCACTTGGCTGTATTTCCATTTGATATGAACAATAATAAAAAAGAATGAAAAAAATGTATATTCACTCGTTTCTACTGTTTGCACACATACGTTCATTCAAATTGTGTATGTTCTGGTTTTTTTTTTCGCACTTAACCATTCAATATATAGACCCGCCAAGCCAGTTTAGTTTAACACATGACAACAAATTACAAATCAACATCAATTATTCCGACTACATTATTCATACATTGTTTCATAAATAGTTAACCGATTCCATGGTAATGTTAAAATTGACCAAATTGAAATTATTAGAAGCATTTAATAAGCGGCATAGTCCTTACCGCCGACTTACTTTTGAACATTTTTTTTTTGCCGTCATTATCAGAATTGATCAAATCAAAATAGTGGCCACTAAAGAAAAAAACAAACATACATTCATGTCGTCTATTCGAACAATATTCGTTGTTATGGAACAATGCGTCAGGTATCGAATTGCTTTCGTCGATGGCAATGCTTTTTTTCTGTGCTTTTATTTGACTTCGTTCGATACCCGCTTTCAATTGATCCATCGTGCATTGTATACACTTCATTTTATCAATTCAATTTAAGCATGTCTCCACTTATCAGGGCGAAAATGATTCGAATTGAATATAATTCACATAGAGACAAGTAAATACATATTATGGCAAAATGAAATAAATCATGCGCTCATTGATTTCACTTTTTTGAATAAATTCTTCGTTGTTATACGAACCAAAAAAAAAAAAAAAAAAGAAATGAAAATGGATGGGATGCAAAAAGGACCGAAAAACGGAATAAGCTTGGCAATTGGAATATTAGATTTATTTTCTAGTGAAAACCTAGCTGTTGATCAAGGGGTTATCGGAGAACAAATTTAGAAATAAAAAATTCAAATTTTGACCTTTTGGGTCTTCACATTTTTCTAAAACCAGAATTTGCACCCCCTTGGTTTTTCAAAAATTGTTGCGATTATACTCCGCCCCTGGATTGTCAATTTCAGACGATATATGTAAAAACCATGGTGATTTTTAAATTATTCAAGCTATAAAAAATGTATATATATGTCAGCATAAAATAGATGTGTTTTTCTTCTAAATTAGAATTTTAGCATCTTCTATATGATAAAAAAATTCTATGCTAAATCAAAAATCATTTGCAAATTACATGGGTGATGGGTTTTTTTTTGCCATTACCATTTCAAAGTAACATAAAATATCCCAAGATTTTGAATAAAAAATATATTTGATTTTGCATGGGTGGAATCATAGAGAAAAAGCTCTCTAAACATACTTCGAATCGATTTCGTCCCGAGTTCGTCATGGTTTCTTGTTGCTCTCTCTGTAAATGATTACACTAGTCTGTCCTCTATTCGTGTTTTTCTACTCCGCTGTCTGTCGCTATTTCTGCCTCGTTTTTCCTCTTGTTGTTTACCAATATCCTTTTTTCGGTTGATATCGTTTGTTTTGGTTTCACTTGTTAATTTTGTTTTTGTTTTTTTTTCTCGATCGTTTGATATCGACGCTTGTTATGCGGCCGCTGTCCAAACAATTGAGCCGTGGTCGTGTTTATTCGAAAATTTGTTGATTCGTAAAACCGTTGACATACAAAAAAATTGTGATTGAAAATAACGGCTTATATTCTACCAGTAGAATCGACACTGTATTGGAATGCACACAGGCACAAATGCAATTGGTGAATGTTATTATAACAAAGCAGCTATCACACGGCCAACGACACGAACAACCATATAATTATATGAATATGAGAATGCTTTACACTTGCATGTTTATGTTCCTTTTCCGATGTTATCTCTGTCCATCGCTGACGCACACCGCGATTTCTTTTTTGTTTTCGTTTTAATTTTAAAAGTCTTTGTTATAGAACACGAGGCGAAAGCAAAAAATGAACCGTGCGATTTGCGTTAATTTATTCGTCCATTTCAATTAAAGAATTTTTTTCATGTTTATGCATTCACTTTAAAATTAAAACAAAATCGCCAATTCACATCAAAGCTAATTTGATACAATATTGTTTGTATTTTATTTTGTCTAAATTTATGATTATTTTGTAATGCATTTAGTATAAAATATGTTTGGTATTATTTTTCATTTAGAATATAAAAAACAATTTGTTAATTATTCGATGATACACATAAAAATGCACTAGTCAATTCAAAAGTTCTTCATTTTGCTAGACTCAGAAGTGTGACAATAACGGTCTAGTTTGCACTCGATGTGTGTTGCGTAGCAAACTATAAATTTGATTACAAAATTTTACACCACCGTGCATATTATACGCCATCAATAAACCGCTTATGTTATTTTTATTTGCGAAAATATAAAACAAGTGTATATATAGTACGTCCGTTATGCAGATATTAAACAATGTATGTACAACAAAGAAAATGCTGATCACTTGAATTGTGTTGTGTGTTCTCAACTGAATGGCATACTGTTTTGTTTTTCTTATTTTTCAATGAAAATGCACGACTTTCGACACTTATCGATGAGAACCATTCACGAAAACCAATTTAAACATGAGCCGAACCATGATGGTTGTGTCTTTTATTTTCCATTTTAATTCATGGGACGTCTCGATTGCTTTGGTCTTCTAAATTTGTTCGTCGAAAAAATTGTGTGTGTTTGATTGTTGGCGTTGTTGGCGTTGTTGTTATCGTCGGTCGACGTCTACGGGTCGTTGTTGTCTTCGTCGCACTTGTATTGAACGTTTTTGTTATCACCTTACAATCTTCACAAGATACAAGACTTGAATATCTATCTTCGTCTCTCGATATGAAATCGTCTGTTGCATGAATGAACTATGTGCTTTATTTTCTCCTCGAAATCACCAATGCGAGAGCACACTGATCACGTAGCAAAGAACAAGCGACTACAACTTTTCGATGTATAGCACAATGTTTATATTGAATACGCACGCTAGCATTGCAATTTTATTTAGCTCCGTGGAAAATGACTGATAAACGAGTAACATCTGCTATTTTTGGTGTTTCTCTTCGTCGATTAGCATTGTGTGGATGCACTCAGAAAAACTCATGCGTATTTCATTATTTATTTTGAATGGTATTTTTTTTTTTCGGTGGGCACCAACAATCAACGCACTGTTGTGCGATGACTTTGATTCAAGGAATTGTTACCGCTACCCACTCTTTTTGTCAGCCTTTTTCAATTGATTTCTGCTCTTCTTGCACTTGCTTCGATTGAAGCACTTACATTCAATAATGTTATTTAAACGAGCAAAAAAAAGACACCCGACTTTGGTTCAATATCTAACTCTGTGCAACTTATTCAAAATACATTTATTGCACCAATATTTTGAACTGTTTTTCTTCTTTTTTTCTCATTCTCTCCCTCTCTATCTCAATTTTTCATTTTTAGTTTATTCGTTTTTCTGATATTCTTTGCTTAACAATTGTTATCGCACACGACAAAGACTACATCGATGACAGAAACAAATCAATCATTGACTATGTTTTATTCACTCTTTTTCATTTCAATAAAGAACCGAAAAATTATCTTCTTTTTCGAATTTGTCTTTATGACAAAAAAAATAATAATAATATAACAGCAAAGTAGACAGCAGAAAAAGCTGTCTCAAAACACAAAACTGAGTGAGAAAACAACTCACACTCAGAGGCGAAAAATATATCAACAGCAGCAGCAACAACAGACAATAACAATAAAGAATTCTTGCTACACTTTGTGTTGGCCCGCACGTTTTAATGTATACGTATTTGTACGGCGTATTATTGCCAATGTAAAGGTTCTCTATGTGCGTGTGTGTCTCAATCTCTGTGTGTGATATATATCTATATATGTTTATATGCTGTTTCGTCAGACACTTGCGAGACCAGTATAGATGTAAATATATGTACAAAGACTACTGCAAAATATAAAAGTGACTAGATTTTTAAGCTACTACGGCATTTCATATGATATTCTCCGTATTGCATTTATGTATGCAGATAAAAAAAGGCTTGAATCGGAATAATACCAAATTGATTTGGATGATTTGAATGAATGCATTCGAAATTCTTGAATAGAATTTGGTGATGGAGAAATTGCGACCACTTTGAATTCGCAATAATTCGTGTATACCCTTTGAAAAGTGTATTTTCTCATTTAGTTTCATTTTTTGTCGCCAAAACAACAAGCGCTACTAGTAGTACGATAAACAACATTCCGATAAAAACGCGCCAAACGTTTCTATCATCTGATACAGAAAAAAACACAACTCATAGATTTACTTAAAATAAAAACAAATCAACACATTCAGACACAATAGCAAACAGTAACCAAATAAATCGAGGAAAAAACGGTATATCAACACAAGTAGCAGACCATTAAAACGTACTTTGCAAACAAAAAATTATCACAATCAGCTGTTCAACTTCAAAACATACGAATTTTATTATCGGGTAAATATTTTCAATTTTTTTCGAACAAACACGCATCGTTGAATCGATAATGATCGCAAATTTGGTGTATAAACAAAAAATAAATGAAAAAATGTCTCCCATTTGTTTTTCTCATCATTCAACAGTGTTAATCAAAAGAGCAATGCAATCCGGGTCCGAGACTAGCGTCGATTCTGAATCTGACAGTGAATCTTCCGGTTCAGGTACTGATTTACCTCAATTCCCAAGAGAAAATCGATGCTCGCCCACAAATGCCATATCCGAGTGTGTTTATCATATGATTACGGTCGAAGCTCACGTATATAAGGCGCTCGCGTAAGTTTAACTAAAAAATGTTTTATTCAAAACTTAAACATATGCATCAAATAACAATGCGACATTCTTTTTTTCAAGGCGTATTGATCGAGATCCAAAATATCTGGCAATTTTGGAGAAATGGCTAAGAAGTATTGATGAAAATGCCAAAGTCGGCCTAGAATCATTGCAAAAGGCCCGTTATAGTTTGGTCGAGCGAATTAATGAAATAAAAACGAATTCAGTAACACCAAATCAGACGGTATCGGCATCGGCACCGTCTGTTCCGGCATCGATTCAACTGCAATCAGATAGACCAGCAACATAAAATACAAAAAAAATATACATTTTAAAATAATAAGAAGAAAAAACAAATTGTAAACTAAAAATCATTTAAAATAATAAACCATAACAAAACCATCAAGTGGTGCGTTTGATTGTATTGAAAACAAATGATAAATAGATGTGTTGATTGTCGAACGAATAACAGCAAAACAAAAACTCCAATGACATTTCAATGTAATACATGTAAACATGCATACACACACGTCCGTGCAACGAACACTCTCCCAACACACATACATTCACACACGCACAATCACTCATGAACGCATTTATTGATACTAACAAACGTTCGTCTTAAGCCACTTGATTGAGGTACAAAAATCGTAGTCAGCCTCGATTTTTTTTAGAATATTTGCCAATTTTCTCGATTAAAACACACTGAAATGAAAATTCGTATCTGTTCAATGTCTATATCTGTGTATTTGATTTCAAAGTGCTCGCTAAAATCGGTTCATCGGTTTTCGTTGACATTAGAACGATGACTTTTTGCTAAATTTGAATGCTTAAATTAACGTAATCGTGTTCATCAATTAAAAAAAAAAACACATTCAAATATTTCGCGGTGAATTGTTTTTGCTATATAACATTTACGATGCAATTGCTTTCATTGGTCATTTCTTTTTATTGTGGACACATTTTTTAATGATTTCAATTAACAATATTATTGGGCTATTGTATCAATTGTGTGCCAATCACTTTCTTTCGTTTAAGATACTTTCAATGTGTCAAACGTATACATCACTATGTGAATTGTTTTTGTTTCGGTTTCTTTTTTGGTGATCTATTTCAATTATCAAAAAAAAAAAACGTTTAAATGAACATTTGTTTTTCATCTTTATTTCAGACACACCGCATATGTTTAGCCGTCAATAAATGTTATTACAGACATTATGACCAATTGTTTTCGATGAATTTCGACATTTCTACATTGATTCAATGAAATATGAACGTCAATTCATATTGAAGACATAAAAAGCGGCTGAAAAAAAATCGAAAGAAGAAAAACAAAACAATCAATCGAAGAAAAATTGAAATCAAATGGAGTTAACGTTAGACGAAAATCCAGCAAATTATGAAATTAAAACGGAACTATCAAGCTGCTGTTTCGGCATTGGTGTTGTTTACTTGGCAAAGCATGTGCCGACCCAACAATTTGTGACCGTAAAAAAGTTTCAAATGGACAAAGCAAAAGAAGAGAGTAATTTAATTCGGGTAAGATTTGCATCTGATAAAATGTTTGTAGAAATTAAATGACTGTGGTTGGAATTGTGATTCAAATTTGCAGGAGGAGATTTTAACAATGCGTCAATTCGATTGTGCTTATGTGCTGCCAATGCATACAGCATTTGTCAAAAATTCAGATGTATACGTGATATCACCGCTGATGTGCTACAACTCTTGCCGAGACGCAATGAATACGTATTTTACGACAGGTATGTCCATGATTAAATGCCATCAAAACATATATTGATGTTAATCATTTATTTATGTGGTCACTACAGGTTTCCCAGAAATTATCGTTGGCCTTATATTACGCGATGTTTTACTCGGACTGGAATATATACACAAAAAAGGTTACATTCATCGTTCAATTCGCGCCAGTCACATTCTCATCAATCAAACGAAAGCGGTTCTTTGTGGTTTTCGTGAACCAATCACACTTATCACGAACGGTCAACGCACACAAAAACTTTATGATTTACCATCGAACAGTGTGAAAAGTTTAAATTGGCTAGCACCCGAAGTGTTGGAACAAAATTTAGCTGGTTATACGGAAAAATCGGATATTTACAGTATTGGCATTACGACATGTGAATTGGCCAATGGGCTTGAACCGTTTGCAAATATGCCAACCACATTTATGCTGACGGAAAAAATGCGCGGAAATCAACCAGTTTTGTTTGATTGTTCGACATGTCCGGACGAAATATTCGGTGAGTGATCGTGATTGTGACGAAATGTTATGCGGTCACAGCAAGTTATTGCATACTCTTGATAAAGACGTTATAAATTAATCGCAATTTTCTATTTTTACTCAAAAAATGCGATAACTTCAATTTCAGGCGCAATTTTTATTTTGTTAATCTTTATTTCTTTTTATTTTTCATATTTTATTTGTCCATCAGCTTCAGCCGGTAGCACGTCTGATATAGATAACAATTTTGCATACCAAACCCACCAAATCTATAGAGAACGAAAACTCAGCGATCATTTTCACAAATGTGCCGAAATATGTATGGAAAGGTATAAAATATACAATTGGTATCAACTATTGGAGACTTTTTTTTAATTTCGTTTGAATAATTCTAGATATCCAGATGATCGGCCGAGCATAGTTGAATTACAAAATCATCCATTTTTCAAACAAGCGAAACGCACAACATTGGCCGAAAATTTTAGTTCGACAGGTATTGACAAATACAATTGCACCAAACTAAGTTCAGGTAAGAAGCCGAACAAATGCAATGTAGAAACATAAACAGTATAAAAAATGACTGAAATTATATAATCGATTGTTTCAATGATTTAGGTGAAGATATCGGTTTATCATGTGAAATGGCTGACATGAGTTTAAGCGGATTATTTGAATGGGATTTTTAATTGTTGATTTTGGCGAATTACAAATTAAACGAGTCAATCATTAAGTCAAATGTATTTCGTGATCCATTGTTTTTAATTTAATAGAAAAACTGTTTATATTCATAAGAAAATGATGAAATCCGAATTACATCGATTCCACCATATGCCAATTCCATTGAAAATGATTTGTACTTTTTTCATTGCGATACAGACCCAGTATGGGCGCTTATTAAGGAACCAATTAAAAAAAATGACAACTAGTTTATTTTTTTTAGACTTTATTTATTACAAATGAATGTAAAAAAAAAACATTAATAAAATTAAAGAAAAAAAACGAATGTTGATCTCTTTTAATTTATTTTTTTTTATTTAAGTGTTAGCAAAAGTGCAATACTTATACAATACAATTTGTGTACAATGCGATCTTTTTGTCTTAAATTCAATCCCGACGAGCGGAACATTTGAATAATGACTTTTAAAAAAATGTGTCCTTGATTTACATGTAAAATTCTTGATTCTCATTTTATTGTATAAATTTGAATGCGAATCTTGTATTGGATGTTACGTTCGATTATTGTTGATGTGTTTCAGTTGCATTATTAATTTAAATTAATTTGAATAGGATCATTCGGATGTAAGTATATGAAAGATTGCTTTGTTCAGCCGCTCATGATAACTCGGACGAATTCTTCGTAGTTAACATTGCCTTGTGAATCTTCTTGATTTACAAGCAACTGTTCCACTTCATCGTCGGTCAATTTTTCGCCCAATGTTGTAAGTAAGTGTCGCAATTCAGCCGTTGAAATGAAACCGCTTGCATCTTTATCGAAATGACGAAGACCTTCAATAAAATCGTCGGCTGTATCACCGGAACGTGCTTTTGAAATTGCATGATAAATTGGAAGGAACACTTCGAACGATATACGTTCATCGGATTTCAATTGGTGTGTACACTTTTTCACATCCGATTCAGTTGGATTTTGACCCAGTGCGCGCAAACATTCGCCAACCTAATTGATGATAACGATGATGATAATCAGTGAACTTCATTCACTAAAGAAGAAAAATAAACAATGTTTATCAAGAGAAATACTGTACATACTTGATTAAGTTGAATTTTGCCATCGCCACGGTTATCAAATAAGTTGAAGGCTTCTTGGAATTCTGGGAAAAAAAAATATTAAAATCGATTATTCGACACTTTAGTCAAAACGAAAGAAATGTTCTTTTTATTAAATAATTAATGATGTTTTTTTTTGTTTTATATTAATAATTGCAACGATGGCACCACTTTAAACTAGATGGACTACCTTCAACCGTATTAAAAACACCTTTCGTCGGTGGATCGTACATGTACATAGTATTGTTGCACACCGAATAAAATTCAAGTAGTAAAATCGCAGATGTTGCGTTTCAGAGACGAAAATCTTGAATGATTCAGTGGCGGCAGCAATACGAGCTTAAAATATTTGGTATGACATGAAAACATACTTTCAATTGCCACCACATACTGTCAACAGAATTTGTGTTTTCCTTAAATTGTGTATTGATCTATTTATGTGTCAATAACACACGATTTATTAAATGCTGTCTCAACACAACAATTACTTATGTCGTCAAGTGAATAAAATCGCTTTGTTTGAAATAAAATTCATTTGCAAAAGAAAGAAAAAAAACGAATAATGATATTCGATGGATTTTCATTGGCAGTGCATAATTGTAGCAACGACATTTGGTGTGACGGAGATAGATACAAATCCATAGATCTATTCACACATTTTAAATAATGAACATTATTTGTAGGCCGAACACAGCATCATACATGCGATTACTTTAAATGGAGTTTGATTTGATCGTTACGTCGCACCAACCGTATTGAATCAATTGTCAACTGAACGATATATAGTCATTATGAAGCTAGATCACGACTGTTACTATTTAAGGTAGCAAATTTGTTTTGGCTTCTTACGATCACAACTGAGTCATAACCAATTGAATGTTACGATTTTCTAAACATGTACATAACACTGATTGACTGTCTTATATTTAAATCAATAATATTCGAATGTTCTCTTTCGTCTTACATCATTCACCGTTCTTCAATTGAAGTGACAGTTTTGTGATTTGTTTACAAATTTACATTGTGTATTTGCAAATCTATTTACAAGACCATCACCAAGTCAACACACACGATGTTCATCAATTGTTTGAATTACAGATATCGATTTGGACGTTGATCCAACAACGATCAATCGGTCTTCGATCAGTCGTCAAAAAGTTACTCGAAATTTTAGATGCAAGATTATTTTTTTTTTTTGTATCTTGAATGAATTTCAAATTTTTGTACAAAAAAATGGTAATTTTTGTTATTTGTGAAAATGAAAAACAAGTTCGAACAATTCAGGGTGTGTATCATATATTTTAGAAAAAAATAAGGTGTTTGACCCAATTCTTTAAATGTTGACCAAATGCAACAAGTGTCACAGTTATTTGTCATATTTGGATTAATACAAGAAAATTTATTTAAAAAAACTATAAATATTCGGAGTCACAAATATCAATCATAAATTATTGTAATGATAAATATTTCGAAAATGACTCACAAAGACGTTACAAAGTCTAACCAATCTTATCGACAACAAAAAAATCGGACAAAAGAAAAACAAATTCTTCTCCAGAATACACACCCAACTTTGACATTTTCAAAACGAGTTTTGGTCGAAAACCGATAAACATCCAGAAGTGCATGTTTTTGGAAAATCACTTATCTGATATATTTGTTCTTTTTTTTCTCAGAATGTCTTGATAATGACTCATTTCGAATTCAAAATCGTATTAAGATAGTTAATTAGTACACGGAAGTAGTCATCTTTTGCTTAAATGTGTAAAATAAATTTAGATTCATGACTCACCGGCCAATTGATCTTCTGTATAGTTTGCCTATATTTTATGAATAAAATCACAAATTAATAAAAAAAATTTAAGAACAAAAAATAAATGTAAATTAAATGAAAAAAATATTTGGAAAAATGTACCATTGTTTTGTGTTTTGTAGATAATTACTAATGGAATTTATTTGTCTCGAACGAATTCGTGTGCACTCACTGTTTGCCAATGTGTGTGTTGTACGTTGCTCTTACAGAATTTTGTTTGGGCTTATAAAAAAGAAACGTTTGATGTCTCTTTGGAGAGTGTCAACCAACAAGCCCGGAGATTCCGGTAGTAGAAATAAATCAATCTTTGAAGAAATGTTTCATTACCGTATATACTTGTCCACACTTTTTAAATCCATAATATTAAAAAGTTTAATAAAAACCAAAAAAAAATAAATCAATTGAATTTATGTAAAAATGGTAGCAATGCTGTTTGGCATGAAATTGGTGTTCGATGCAGGTCCCTCTATTGTTTAATGTAATCGGTACTACTGTCATTTTTCTCTACACGAAATAATGTTTCCAAGAAATAATGGATTGTCCGATGCAAATGTTTAAAAAATTGTTAAACACAAAAGAGAACAGTATCGTCAACATTTTATTAAAACATTATTTTTTTCTTGCATTTTTATATTAGGACATAATTTTTTTTGCGATGTAAAATATTGCAATAATCTGAATATCGATGTGAAATATTTGCATTTGGCACACATTTTAATCGGGCAATACTAAATCGTAGAATTTCAACTTGAATTTTGCTCATTTCTCGTACACATATACACTTTCTTTGTCGCATTCGATTGCGCACCATTGTATAATAAGAGCCTAGTAAGCACAGTTTCATTTTAGTTATTCACTAACTGTCAAGCAAGTAACACAAAACAGCTTACTCCCAGCGACAAGAGCTAACCCAGGCCAAATATCACAAGAGAAAAAAATACTATTTTTGTTTTTTGAAAGTTCATTTAAAAGTTGCAACCATTGAGGAATACAATGCCATCAATAATTAACAGTAATCTGTAAGTACATAAAATTGCATTTATTTTATTTCGTTTATTTTCAAATGATTTGTGTACGAATCGAGTGCTAGTGGGCCGATTATAAAAGAAATATATTGATGATGAAATATTGAGTATTGAAAATACACTTCCTCATGATAACAATATATGTATTCATACAAATTTTTTTCATATGGGCGGCCATCTTGATTTTTATTATTTTCCTTACCGCACGTACTGTGCGCTGTGTATATTTATATCTGTATAGATATCATACAATGTGCAAACACTCGAACGGTCCGATACATGCGTGCTTAATACGCACCAAATACCATATGACGTGACCGAATCTCTTTTTTTCTATCTTTCTTTTTCATCAAAATCCATTTGAATTTTTTATGACAACAAGAAATCTATCGAAAATTGGACGCTATGTTTTTACGGCTTCGTCTTTTCAGTCTATCGAAATTAATTGGTAAATTATAACTAATTTTCAATATGACCCGAATAGTTGGTTTGAAATTATTGTGCGCGAGAAAGAGACGTACTCATACTTATATGGATGTGTGACGAGTATCTATTTTTGATCTTGGTTTTTTTTTTCTTAAAAAAAAAAAACATTTCTCCCACTGCTCACGTCCTTTCAAAAAATTTCTTTTTTTTCTCAACAATGCATGAACATTTTGCAGATATTTGGCTAAATGTGTGTGTCAGTAAAATGGCAAAAAAAGGTCGAACTTTGACCCGTTACTTCGACAATGGACTTTTGCGCAGAATGTGAACATTGTTACGGTTTGAAAAAATGATATACACGAAAAAAAGAGTCATGCTAAAGTTTTCATGCTTTCGACGAAAACAAAAAAAAAAACGAAATGAAATTCTAGCCAAATTTCATTTTTTTTTTTCGAAAATGTTACTTGAGTGTCTTGAGTGCACTTTGATATTCTCTCATTTTGCGTTCTCTTTCTTTGCGCGCAACACATACACACAGAGAAACGCCATTGAATCTCATATGTTTGTGTGGTTTCTTGCATGGATTTTTCCATATATTGAGATATCCAGCGGCCAAGGTCAAATGTACTGAATAAAAATGCATTGTGCATACTTGACAACTCAAAAAGTATACAAAACACAAATGCTTTCTGACTTTATCCTCTTTCTCTTTGCAATCAACAAAACTCGACGACATCTGTATATTCTTTATTAATGCAAATTCTTGTTTTGAATGTATTGTTTATATACTTATATGATTTATTTGTTTATTTTCCCGTGTCTCTTGTTTATTTTTAACCAAACAATCAAATCGAATGTTTTTGCTTTGCATATTTTCTGTCATTACAAGACATGTCTGAATTAATTCAAGAAAATTCTACATTCAAACCATTCATCAACCATAAGTTTAAAGCATTTATGTGGCAAGTTTTAAAGTCCAATGCGATCGCTGACACACGCACAATTGACTGATTAGATTGTTTATTGCTTATTACACAATTGTACTTAAGTTTTTCCTCTTTTTTACGTTCAACTTAATCTTACGATCGGCTATAGTGATATCGACACTATCTTTTGCGTTGATACTCAACTAATTGGCCTCTAAACAATGGAAAATATACACGCATTTACAATGAGGAAAAATCCAATGGACAATCGAAATGAAGATAACGACAATGTGCAAAGTTTTATTGATCTTTCACTATATTCGAGAATGATTGATTTGTGAACTATTTTTTTTTTTCATCGCTCTCGTTCAACATTAATTGGCAACCAATTAACCAATGATCAGACCACTTATGATACCAATACAACGAATGAAGAGAGAGAAAAAAACGTAGAAAAAATAAATGATTTGATATTTGCAAGAATTGTAATCCAATTCCGACCAGAATGAATGAGGAACCGATCCCGTGCAACTCACAATTAGACGCAATAGCATCTCTCAAAATGTTTTTCACAAGCTAAATTGCTTACAATCATTTGTTTGTCTTTAATTAAATTCACATTTTTCACAACATCGTGTGTTATTCGAGCAGAAAAAGCATGTGATCAACAATTTGAATTTGATTATATTTCAGTTTCATATTTAGCGCTATTTTGCATTGTGTGTTTTCATTCGATACTATCTGTTTCTGTTGAATAGAATCAAATATCAAACTAAAGATAACTGGTTAACTCATATATTATATTTATTGCTTCATCTACATCATGCATTTCGAAATTGTAATAATAATTTGCATTTTTTCTACAGAATAAAAATAATAAATAATAATTGCATTTTCTCGAATGTTCAGATATAGATGACAAAAATATCTTGTATTTCACATAATTTCTAACGTGCTCCCCTCCTCTCACCGAAAATTTCAAAAAGCCACTTTGAATGACTCACATTGAGTGAATTGATTTTTAAATGCGTGCTATAAATGACACAATGAGTAGCCACGTTGTAAATGATAACGGTTGGCGTTTTTTTTTCTTCACGATATCATGATGTCAAATGTGGAATGTATGTGATCGTCATTGAGAGAGCTGTTCAAATAAAATGACTCCCCACAGGTGTGATAATGTAATGTAAATAAAACCATCTATTGAATCGGCGTGTAATCAACTTAAAAAAAATATTGTTTTCTTTTGCCCAGTCAACAACTTCCCTTTGCTTTCGTGTATACACACGAAACAAATATCCAAATATTTGCACAGTTAGACGCAATTTGAAATCAACAATGAAATTAATAAACAATGTCACCCGAAAGAGACATATCTATCTGAGGGATATCATATATCAATAAAACTGATTGTAGCGTATAAATTGAGCTATTTTCAGTTTTCAAGTCTGGACGTGACATTCGGGATTTTGTTTTTCTGGTCTCATTGAGCATAAAGCAATCTCAAGTGTCCAATAGATTGTTGTTTTTCAAAAATATTTACCAAATGAAAACGATGACAAAATATTTTTTCAATAAACTTTAAAATGGATTCCGTGTCAATGACTCACTCATGCTACTTGATAAATAAACTAGAAGGCATGTTATTCATTGTTTTAACCCAAATTTCTTCGATTCTATCGTTGAGTGAATGCTCATTTAATTAAATTTAGAATGTTAATGAACTTATATCAAATATGATCTGATTATTGTTTTTCTTTTGATTTCAGTGACCCATTAAGTAGTAGTAGTAGTAGTAGTAGCAGCAGCAGTAGTAGTAAAAGGGGTAATGAACAACGCAAGCAACGTAACACTTCCACTTCTTCGACCATGACAAATGAATCCTATTCCATCTCTCTCGGTGTAGGGCCTCTGTGGTGGTCCTGATGTCACTAGCCTCCACAGAACAGATCACGATAGGACATCTCTACAAAATGGTAAGTACAATAATTTGTTGTTGTTTTTTTCAAATCTGGTTTTGCATTCAAAATTTAAAATTTAAATTGAAACATGTGATGATTTCATTTTTTCTTCTTTTTTCAACGCATATATTTGTTTCAAATTGAATAAAATTGGTTAAAAATGTGATAAAATTTCTTTATTTACAGATTTAAATCGCAAAACATCACTAGATTCAACCAGTTCATCACAATTTTCCGATATTGATTTTTCTGAAACTTACGACGATATATCTGCACCAACACCAGCCGCTGCTGGCATTGGAAAGAATGACGGTCACGCTGTATCAATGTCTGAAGATGATTGCGACGAAGTTGTTAAACGAATTTTACATCAAAAGAAACCGATTCGCATCACCTTAAAATTACATGTCACCGAAGCAACATTCAGCGTTTGGGATACCGTTTTGAATCCAGAAAATAACATTTTATACGTTGCATTACCAACCGTTCTCTTGCCAGAAGCATCCAAACAATCGTTCATCACATTGCTTGAATTTGCCGAAGAGAAATTGGATGTTGATGCAGTCGTTTTATGTATGCGCAAAGATCGCGTTGATCGTCCAAATTTGGTACGAACATTTTTGTTCCTCGGTTTTCAACCATTGTCACCAAAATCAACATTGGCACCACCACAAAGTGGCACCGAGAACAATCTATTCCTCATCTATAAAATTGAAGACGACTAAATTCAACCATCAATACCAATAATACCAAAGCAACATCACCAGACGACAACGTCAATGTGTCTTCGATGCTATATGCCTGCTCAACATCAACAGTGCCCGTCGAAGTACTTTCTATGCAGAAATTGATATCGACATAATTAAATAACATGTATTACTTTATACACTCTTCATTCAATTTATACACTCCTATCACATTTATTATCCAGCACATTTGAAAGAAAAAAACAAAACAATCAAACAAACAACATTTTGAATCTAGAACAACTATTGCGATTTATCAACATCTATAAACAATAAAATCATTTGTAGAGTTTGAAATGTCCTATCATAAAGGTGACTCAATAATTAAAAAAAAAACTAAAAAAGTGACAGAAAAAAAAATTTAAAAAAGTATAAAAACGTGGCAACAAAAAAATTACAAAACGTGGCATAAAAAATCAAAAAAAAATGTATATAAGTAAGGAAATAGAAAAAAAATTGTTTATCACATATATTGTACAATTACCAGAAATTTACGGACCCAGCATTTTCTCTTAATTTTTTTTCAAACCTAATTTAATTAATTAACAAAATAATTGATAAGCTGGAAAAAGATTTGGAATGCGAGTCGAGTAAATAATATCGATTTTAAGAAGAAAAAAAAAATTTAACAACTACAAATCATTCAATTCAGTTGTGCTGCCTTTGAGGTCGCAAAGCATTTGAGAAATAATATCTGGTTTTAAAGAAAATGGATGCGTAACAATTCGAAAATATTTGAAACGTAAAAAAGCTTTTCATTTCAATACATTTTTGTGATAGAGAATTTTCAATTTCATTTTTTTTTCTTAAGATTATTTACTCTGGTTATTTTACATTGTTTTTTTTTTTTCTTCTTTTGATTGAACACATTCAACTAAATATTTGCTTAACTTCAACTTTTTCGTATTTTTTTCCTTTATTTTTTTTTATTCGTATTCATATTTAAAAAGAAAAATACCTCTTTATCAAAAATGAGGCATAGTTTTAATATTATTCAACTTTGCAACATCTTAACATTTTATCCACATTATCAAATAAAAGAGTTGCAAAAATTAAAGAAAACCACACAATTAGCGATTAGGAAAACCAATATTGTTAACGAAATGCTTGAGTGACAGTCAAGTCATTTTCGATAAATAGAAACAAATGAGAAATTTAAAAGAAAAACCTCCCTGTATCCTTTAAACAAAATAAACACAATTCAAATAAAATTTTGCATTTTGCTCGACTTCAATCAGCTTTTGCGAACAAAACATAACCGCCTTTGTACGATACACATATTTTATATATATTTTTTCTCGGTATAAATCTGGTGATACACGAAGTCATCAACGGCATATTGTGGGTAAGTCTGGCTTTTTACAATGTTTATTACTTATTTCGTACGCAAGTAATTCGACGAATCCATTTTTTTTATCAATTCTCAACGAATGATGATAATCAAAATAAAAAAAAAAGTCATAAAATATGATCAGATTTCACTCCATACTTGACTACAATGTTGCTGCACATGCAAGTATTTCAAAGTAAAATGTCTCAAGTGCCATTTGAGACAGTGATAGAATAATTATTTCAGAAACCACTTAAAAAATGTCAACTCATTTAATGAGCTAATTCATCAATTTTCAATGTGGACAATTTAATGTGAGCACCGTCTAAAAGAGTCTGTCTTTGTACCTCAAAACCGAACTGTCTACAATACATTTCTTTTAGATTTCAGATAAGATAGAATCTTCAATAAAAATATCAAAATGTGGTAAATAAAACACATATAAATTTTTTTTTTTTTTTTTTTTTCATATATTTTTTTAATTATTTTTTTTTTGCATCGGGGGCTTAACAAAACAATTCCAATAATAAAATATACAAAATTTCACTAAAAATAAATTGCGATTCATTTCTTATTTACAAATTATGATGTGTGTATGAGTGACGACGCGTGCGATCGATACATCTAACCATATGCTATGTCTGAAGGCGTTGCTCAAGTCGTTCATTTTATGTTCATTGCTTGATAATATTGAATACATTTGAAACGCGTTCAGACATGAAAAAAAAAGGTTCAAAAATGTTCTAAATCCATCTCACGACGAACGAATGTTTCTCTTTTTTTGTTGTTGTTGTCAAACGAATCACTAAAAAACTAATACAAATTCCCTTTCTTTAAATTCTAATAGCGACGTGAACATGAACGTGTAAATCATAAAAAAATTTCGTTTACAATAATTTAGAGCATAATATTTTACAAAACATATTGGAATAGCCAAAAGGCAATGTTACATATCTCCGAAAAGGCCGTCAACGAAACTCTGGTATAAATACCAATGCATTTAATAGAAAAAAAGTAATCGCAGGATATAAAAAAAATCAATGAAAAATTGAACACGTTTTACGAAATGGTGCTGAATTTGCATTCCATTAAATTCATATTTCATCATCATGTCTCTCTGTCACATTTCAAAATTCCATCCCAGTCACTAACTTGGTCTATATTTGATTTCGTTGCGAAAATCCAACGCGTTCGGCAATATTGCCCAACACACTTCCCAGAGTTGACATTGAATAGTCTTTGTATGTTAAACCAACTATGTTACAATAGGTTTTATAGAATGTACCTCGAACGGCTTGCAAGCGCTCACGTCGACGCCTTTGTATTGTTTCGAAAAAATAAATAAAATGAAAATCAATATATTTTCCAATTATTGCAATGCAAATAGACTTGAATTGAAATTGAAATAACAATGGCACTCACATGAACATAGCGGTGTGGCTGTTTATTGAGAAAATGTCATCATCGACAAGTGTTGAATTCGAATCTTGTAAATTCGTATTGAATAGTCGATTATTTGAATCAGTACTTCGTAGACTACCGGATTGGTTAACCAATTGCCAACTACCTACCGATGATGTTGATTCATTTCTTTGACGCGATCGCGATGAATACGGTACCGTTACGGGGCTTGTTTTACTGTTTAAAATATAAGTAGTATCATTCAACAACAAAAAAAATTTCATGACATCAATTTTATAACATGAAAATACAAACCGTTTTGAAATTGGCGAATAATTGTTTACTGTGGTTGATTCTGGTAAGATTTCTATACTACTATTGCTATCCTGGTTGATTGATAAATTTGCTATATTTCTGAAATGGAAACGATAAATGTGACATTTTTGAAAATACTGAAATCATTTATCATTTACCCGTTTGTATTTTCATGTAAATCATTGTTGAATTGTTTTTGTTGGTAAATATCTTGTTGGCTGCCACCTGATATGCTTGAGCTACGACTGTCTAGATCAAATTGAAAGGTTTCTTGATTTGATTCATTTTCCTGAGGAGCAGTGGCATTGCCGCAACTTCCACTACTATTATGCTTAGTTCTATGTCTGTAATTCGAATTTGATTGACAAACAAAACAAAATATATTGTAGTTTATGTTTAAAATGGGCGTTCCCAATTCCATTTTTCGACTTTTTTAAACAAAACCAATAAATATGATTGAATAAATATTCAATAATCACCTGTGGCTTATCACACTAAAATCTTCCTCCTGAATATATTTCAACGCATAAAAACAAAACATAAAAATGTCTTCGCCTTTGGTCAGTCGATCGGGTAAATCATGGCCGAATAAAAACCAGTCGTAGGCAAGCGTCAAAAATAATATTTGAAGTGCGTTCAATGATTGATGTATTACACCATCAGCCCATAACGATAAACGTAATAATGAAACAAACAACGGTGTTCGATCCCATCCACTGATGCAGTGAATCAAGAGACCCGAATTATTATCTTGTAAATACTTTAAACAAACTTTCAGGTAATTTTGCGTTATTGTCAACAAGTTCCAATCTTTGTATTGATTCCAATTAATATTCATTGACATTTGTGATGTCTTAACATCATCAGGAATTACAATATCGGCATCAACATATGCTTGTGACCAATCGAATATACAACGTTCGTGCGTATAGTTATTATCACGAAATTCTCGAAAAAATTCACATCCCGGATATGGTAGGCTAATCAATGTAAAATCCTTGTATCTATTCTCTTTGTCCACCTTCTCGGATGATGTTACTCTAAAATAAAATGAAATAAAAGAATAACATTTGACGCACTCATTTGTGATAACGATCACACGATTATATTGAGTGAAGAACCCATAAATATGAAAATTTGAAAATTCACTTTAAACCGAATTTGACTTTTTTCTTTTCCACCATAAAGTCAATGATAGTTCCGACGTTTAATGCTTCCAGTAATCGAATATCATTATGTCGAACATTATCGAAAAGTGGCCAATCCGATTTTCCATTTGTTCCATTTTTGGTACCATTATTCAACACTTTTCCAATCGGATTATTTGCATCATCTTGGTCTTCCATTAAATTTTCATTCGCTTCGACGGCATCATCGTTGCCTGCCAGTATGCACAAATTTAATGAATTACTAATAACCACCCCATATTCTCAATTATGTAAAAAAAGCAAACAAACAATCAAACTCATTTTATTTACCTTGTATTTCAACATTGTTTGGAGTTGGTTCTGTCGTTGTACCGGTGCCCAAGAAATAATTGATACCATTTCGTGTATACATTTCGGCTCCGCTGGATAGTGTCGATGAACGGCATACAAATTTTCCTTTATATAGAATCACAGGCGTCGGAAATCGTGTTCGTGATCGTGCAAGGCGGGCTTTCGTCATCAGTTCTCGGAGCTTAATCTTTTCATATGACTTTTCGTAAATGGTTGGCTGTTGCGTGCGCTGAGAGGATGGAATATTTGTTGGAACACTTACGGTGGTTGGATCTTGGATAAATGGCGATTGTGTCCCGCTGGTCGATGCCGAAAATGTATTCGGTTTTTGTTTTTCAAATTCAGGTATCACGATCACCGCTGGATAATGGGAAGACAATCCACCGCCGCTATTATTTATTTCCACCGTTTCATAGTCCAAACGAAATAAGCTCTGGCATTTTTCCATCACTTCATTATTCTGCAATCAAGATATGGAACATGAAAACAAATCATTTTAAGATTTAATTGCATTTTGGTTCTTCTTTAAATAAAACAAAAATAACATTCGTAGCAGAGATTATCACAAACGGAATTTTATGATGAAAAAAAAAATAAAATAAACATTATCAACAAATTGATCTTGTGATCGGTTTGTTTGTTTTTTCCAAATGAGTTCATACATTCAAATTTATGCCATGCATATTTTGATGTGAATATGATTCATATCATTCGAATGAGAGTCTTACAATTGAACTTTTGTTTTTACATTTCCATTTGATACATAAATAAATAACAGAATAAAAGTTGAAATCATAACGAAATAGCTCATTTAAAGCCAAACATTTGAATTAAAAACTAGAAATATATCATTCAATAGATGCAATTTCAATCGATCGCATCTAAAGTGAATGCGATGATTGACACATTAGTAAAACGATAAAAGAAAAAATAATGAATTGTTTTGCTTCAGCTTGATAAGAGATTAAATTCAGTTGATTATTGAAATCAAAAAATAAACTTTCGAAATGACTTATAACATTATCAAGTGTGATGATTGTAAACGGAATAAATTATCGTACGATATCAACATATTATTAAAATTTGATAAAAAAAAATTGGTTATAAATTTTTATTTTGGACATGATTTGTTTCGTCTACGACGAGAAGAAAAAAGTATTTCTTCAACGAGAGTCGCCTGCGCTCGATAATGTGTGTAGGTAGAAATAACATATTCGCTCTAATTTCATAAAGTTTCTTGGTGTTTGTATTGATATGTGTCACAAATTCAAGGAGATTGTTGCTCATTTTTTCAATTGATTGCATTCTCATTTATAAAAAAAACCCGAATTGTCCATTGGCATCGAATCGATCATATGTGAATCAATTGAAATGTGTCAACGATTGAATTAAGTCTCATAAAATTGCTGTAAACATTCACTTGGTCAAGCACCTCATCATACCATATTGTTTACAAATATCTTTGCATTGTATTTTTCTTTGGTATGCTAAACATAACCTCACTTCATTTTTAGAGCAGGTGGCATTTATGCAATTTTGCTTGTGGTTTACGGTACCTTTACCACTTGAAGAATGTTTGATGGATATACGTGCATATTAAAAATTTGCATATGAAGCAAATATTTGCGTTCGAACGGTAAATTTTCTAAAAATTTCATTTCAACATTCTTTGCTGTGCATTTCCTTTGTTTAGTGTGAATTGCAATGTAATAATGCACATGAAAATACTGTCTGTTCAATAAAAAAGAGAGAGTGATGTAAACGAAAGAGCAGAGCAAGTTATTGCATTGAAATGAACAAAATGTTATATTAAATGTTCGACATTCTGGCTCCTCATAATATTTTGAACACATAATCGATTCAAATTCGACACATTTCCTCACTGAATCTCCTTCGTTTCTTTTTGGTTGATTTATAATAATGAATTTAGTATTGACGAAAAAAAAAAACTGCACTCGAACACACATTTTCTCTGTAGAATGTAAAACATTTCGATAACTAGCGGAATAATTTACTTACCAGCGATCCTTCCTCATCGTCTTTGGCTCGATAGACATTTTTTGAGAAATTTTCAAGCAATCCCTGGATGTGAGCCACAGTAATATCGGAACTTATACTCATGGTTGTCACACCACATTTGTTGAAAATATTCAATCAAGCACGAATTTCGTGTCGCCGTGTGTATTTTCTTCTTCTTCGATGAAAATAAAAAGGTATTTTGTGGTTTAAATGAATTTAATTGTCAATCAGGAAATGTAAAACATTCTATTGTGAATGTTTTAACTGTATTCCAAAATTGTCACCGTTATTATTAGAAAATTATTACTCTTTTTCTTTCTTTATTTTGATTGGGAAAAAAATACAAGCGCGTTTTGTTTTTGTTTTTATGTCTTTTCACTACTTCTCTTTTTTTTTTGCGTTTAATTGAAGAAGGAAAAAAAAAATTAATAATGTTAATATACTTGTGTGTATCAACTGTTGTTGTGTGAACGAAGGGAAATTTGCACGCAAAATATATATACTTATTTGTTTTGTTAATTTTGTTTTCGTATTTTATTTTTATTCCGTCTTATTCTATCTTGTATTCTTGTGATCGCTTCAGTTGATTCTTCCGTGTGTTTAGCGTATTATTTATTACATATTTTGATGCTGTTGTTGTCGATTTTTCTTTGGTGTGCTATTTGACATACAAGCGCTGCTTTCAAAATATATTCTTCTTCGTCGCACTTTGTATTTAAAAACATGAAAATACATGCACAACATTTACAATTTCCGTGGTATTTTATATGATGTATGTCAGTGTATGCGTTTAATACATGTATATACACGTCATATGCAATTACAGTGATACACAAAGAACGGAGAGTATCACATATTATTGGTGACTCTATACGATAGACTGTTCTCTCCGTCTCACATCTGAACAATTCGATTGAATCAGTTCATCAATCCATCTCATTTCTTTTGCTCAGCTGCGTGTGTGAGCGTGGCTACGTATTGACATTAAGACCACTTCACACTGTCGCAACCGCAAACTCAAGACGACGACAAGACTATTGGACTATGCCGTAACTAATATAAATTGTTAAAAATTTATAATAATAATAATGTAATTTATTCGCTTTGAAGTCGAAACAAAAAGAAAATGCTGTTTGTTTGTTGTCATTCATTTTTCTCATATTTTACTGGAGTTTTACTTTTAAAATTCATACAATGTCTGATTTGGCATGCTCCGTAAGGATAAATAAGAATAAATTAGGAATGTGACAATCAATCGTTGTATGATTATCATGCTTATAGCGGCAAAATGTAATTTGGATGTTGTTGCGTTTAGTATTTTATATTGGACACACACACACAATTGAGGTGATCTCTTAGTTATGAGGTAGCATCACACTTTCCACAGTCGTTTTGCTTAGTTCGTTAATTGTTTCAGTCCAATCCTCCTTGGCGATATTTACAACAGTTTGAAGAAGTAATTGTGTTACTTTGCTCACGTTTGATTTGAACATGGCAAGCACATCGTTTACACAGACTTTGGTGCCGTGCGATCTCCAGCAATCATAGTCGGTGGCCATTGCAATGGCGCCGTAGCATAAACCGGCTTCTTTGGCTAATACAACTTCGGGCACTTTAATTTTATTGAAAATAATTTAAAATTTGGTTATATAAATAGATTTAAAAAAATTGCAGTGTAATATTGTCAAAACACTTACCGGTTGTCATATTCACCAATTGAGCACCCCACTGCTTGAACATTAAACTTTCAGCTTTGCTTGAAAACCTTGGACCTTCAATTGTAATCACTGTACCACGCTCGTGCACCGGTATACCTATATAATGAGACATGAACACATTTTGAAAAAATTGCAATTATTTTAAATTAGAGGAACGAATGCACTTAAAAAGCTTGGAAAATTAGCTGTGGAAATGTTATTTGCTTAAGACAGCTATCGGCTTATAGTATTACAGATTCTTACCCAAATCGCATGCTGTTTGAATGATAACATCGCGGGTTTTTTCGCAAAATGCTGGTTCCATTGGTAAATGGCAAACGCCAAATGGCGACAATTCTTTACCATCATAAAATGTTTGATTACGTTTTGTGGTGCGATCAATGAAATTATCGAGAATGACGATATCACCGGGTTTGATATCCTCTTGCAGCGAACCGGTCGCTGTCGATACGATTATGTGTGTGCAACCAACATTTTTCAATGCCCAAATGTTTGCTCTGTAGTTAATGTTTGATGGCATAATTGAATGTTTGCGACCATGTCGCGCCAACAAAACACATTCAACGCCATTGATTTTACCTTCAACCAAAACATCCGACGGTGCTCCTAAAATAATCAATTGAACGAGAAAAAATAAATAAAATATTTCAAGTACATCTCAGTCTCTGATAAAAATGTGCTTCAATTCAAGCACTCACCATATGGTGTTTCACGATAAATTTCACGTCTTTCATCCAAAATTTCCGGATCATCTAGACCAGAACCGCCGATAATTCCAACCTGTAAATACACCGATAAAATTTATGGATAGATTCTATTGGAAAAATTTAGATTTCAAAGCCGATTTTTATGAGGAAAATACTTACTTTTATTTTAATGTCTGACATTTTTCACTGACTGTTGAATTCCTTTTGTTTCTTTATCAAAAACCAATCAATCGAACCACCTCGAACTTTTTATACTGATAAGCAATAATACCTTTTTGGCGTTTTTTTCCCTGATTATGATTATTATTCCAATTCACCAATACAAAAATGACATTGTATCCATTGACATTTCGCATGAAATGTATGTCTCGTTCACACGCCGACTCATTCACATTCAATATCTAAAAATATAAGCTGATATAAAATTATAAGAAGAAAATATAGACAAGAAACGAAAACCGAACGTAGTAGTATTTATTTGAACTGAACCATTTCGATTGCAATTTGCCAGACATTGATTAGTAAACAAAGGATTTTTGTATTAGATTTGTATTTTCACGATTCCGACAGACAGACCAAGTTTATGGTGTACAAGATAAACGGCATTTAATTTTTTGACATGATAACAACAGTCATATCATAGCATAAGTATTAATTGTGTTTTGTAAACACAAACGAAAGACAGACAGACAATCAAGAGTTGAGCAACCGAATCGTCATCATTCTACAATTATTCAATGTAAAAGAAATTCTATATCTCATTTCCATCTTGTTTTTGGCACTTTTTTTCTTTTGTTGTTCTTGTAATCAAAACGAATCAAATTATCGTATTTTATTTTGATAAAAATAAAAATCATTCGTTTCGCCGTCATATTTAAGTGTGAATAATCAATTAGTCAAATTCAACCGGATTGGCATGTTCTGAGTTGTAGCATACGAATATGGATCGAGAACAATTTATAAATGGTGATGAAATCGTTGATTATTGGGGTTATTTGAAAAGTGTAAGTGTGCTATTCTCTTTTTGTTTGTTATTGTGGCGAATATTTCGCAATCGATACAAATTTAATTAAAATATATGAAACGTTTGTCAACGTTCACATTTTGAGTATTTTAAATTTAGCGAAAATAATGATGTGCTTTTTGGTAATGGTTTCAGATTGATTGGTATGATCCCTGGTTGATTGCCTTGATACTTGTTCACATTGGAACAACAACAGCTGCCGTATGCACACGGAATCATTCACTATTTCAAATGGTTTTATTTTTAGTTTTATGTAAGATACGAAATAATTTCGATGCTTTTGTTTCACATAATTTTAAATTCTGAAAAAAATTCTTTCTCACAGTATTACTAGTCTACTTTTCGGAAACAATCAATGAATTGGCCGCACGGAATTGGCGAACATTTTCACGTCAACAGTATTTTGACAGCAATGGTCTGTTCATATCAACCGTATTCTCAATACCGATCTTATTGAATTGCATGCTCATGATTGTACGTATCATATTTATTGTGTCAATTAATCGGACAATTTACTCATTTTACAAATGATCATTTTTTTTATCATAGGGTAACTGGCTCTACAATTCAACTCAATTAATGTCGAAATTAAAGGTGGCACAACTCAAGGAGCAGAGAAAATCGCAACTGAAGGAAAAACTGAAATAGTGACAATATTCAGATGATTGTGTTGTTGTAGTTTCTTCTTAATTTTCTAGCCATAAAGTGCCACTATGCTAGGATGAAACGGAATTTAAAAAGAAGGATTATTGCATTTTTTTTTAATATATATTTTTTTCATTGTTTTTTCAATGTAAACTCGACTGTCGATTATTTGTGCGAAGTTGTTTGTATGCCGGTGTAAATATTTTTGCCATTTTTTTTTAAATATGATTTTGATTTCGTACCATAGAACTCTGACTCATTTGTTTTTGCATGTGTGAAGACTTCACGCGATTTTTTTCTATATCATTTGCGCCAATTTTCATAGTGGCTGCGAAAATGACGGCTTAACATCACCTTAACTTTAGTGATTAATACATTTTATTTTAATTCAATTTTACCAATGTATTTACATGAAAGGCATTTTAATTCAAACAAAAACAAAATGTGGTCACATATTTGAGAGACTTATATTACAATTTCAATTAACCTCCAAAAGCGAAATGTGATCAAAATATTACAGTTTTTGCAAAGCGCTAAAAACCATATCTTAAGACACTCGTTTTAAAAGTATTCCATTCAGATATGTGAATTGAAGGTAAAAAAGATTGTAACAATGTAATGATGTATGAAAAATTGTTCTATGAAAAAATAAAATGAAAATCAATTTGTCATTTTTTTGTGTTCATCTTCTGTTTGCACATTGAAATCCACTCCGTGGATGTAAATAAATAACAGAAAAACAACAAGTTATTACGTTGTAGTTGGTCATTGATTTGCAACAGGCAACACCAATATTGGTTGCCGTCTGTTTATGTCGATTGGCGCGAAACGTAAACGTCAAACTTCAAGCAAATGTAAACTTTGTACGTAAAAGTGCCGACAAACCATTAAAAAAACAAATTTAATCTTTTAATTTAATTGAAATAAAATCAATTCAAAATGGTCGAAAATAAATCAGAAGAATATAGTCAAGAGGATTTGCGGGATATGTTAAAAATTTACTATAAACGCTTGTTTCCGGCAAAAAATTTCTTTCGCTGGCTTACATACAGCAATAGTAAGTTGTTAGTTTTGGTTGTAAATAATTCAATGATTAAGTGGTTTAAGAATTATTCATGCTAATCATAATATTTTGCACGTCTACGTTTAGGTGAACCGCAAATATTCCAAAATCGCGAATTTTCCTTCACATTGGCCGATGAAGTGTACATTCGTTATTTGTCTTATGAGAATTCAAATGAATTCGAAGCTGATTTGTATGCAAAGAGTCCATTTAAAATCGATATTGGTGCCGTAATGACAATTCGACCGCGAGATCATCGCGTTGGCAATGTACAACCAACACAGCGTGAGCTTGTTTTTGATATTGATATGACAGATTATGATGAGGTGCGTACATGCTGTTCGGGTGCCGACATTTGTCAAAAATGTTGGAAATTTATGGTTGTTGCGTGTCGGATACTGGACGAATCGTTGCGAGGTTTGTAAATTTTAATTTTTCTCATTCGTATTTACATCAAAGTTATCGCAAATATTTTGATTCATAGAGGATTTCAATTTTGAGCATATTCTTTGGGTGTTCAGCGGTCGTCGTGGTATTCATTGTTGGGTTTGCGATAAAACTGCTCGCCATTTGGACAACAAAAATCGAAATGCTGTTGCTGAATATTTGAATTTTTTTACATCAAATCGCGTTATATTGCCCGGTGATCGAATGCATCACAGCATGAAACGTGCACATCGCATTGTCGAAACGTATTTCGATGAAATTTGTTTGAATGATCAGAATATATTTGGTACCATTGATGGCCGGAAGAAATTATTGGAATTAATATCGGATGAAAATATTCGCAAAGAATTGGAAAAGAGTATTATGGACATTGAAGCTGGTGATTCGAAAACCGTATGGGATACAGTTAAACGATTTGCTCAAACTCATCGAAATCAAAAGGAGGTTCAACGCAAACTTAAATTCATGATCGAAGAAATTCAAATGTCGATTTTGTGCCCACGTTTGGATATTTCTGTGAGCAAAACGGCAAATCATTTACTAAAAGCACCATTTTGTGTGCATCCAAAAACCGGCAAAGTATGTGTACCATTTAATCCATCGGCGGTTAGCAAGTTTGATCCAACAACCGTACCAAGATTGCGCCAATTGCTTAAAGAAGTTGATGAATTCGATAAAAAGGACGGCGAAGATGGAGGCGAAAAAGCTCGCATCGCATTGGTAAGCTGAAATCAAAAACTAAATACAATAACATGTGATGATGTATTTGCTCCCTTTATTCCTGACAGACATATCGAAAAACGGCCATGTATAAGAGTGTCATCATTTTCGAAGAATTTTTACGAAAACTGGAATCAAGCCATAAAAATGCTGGCACTAAACTGGAGACAAGCGATGCGAAAATGGAATTTTAACTGTACAGTGTACAGTTGAGCTTCAAATTTTCTAGTTAAGTCAACATCCCACAATATAACATATAAATAGGCGATTTATTACTTTTAAAATTCATAGATTTTGTCTGCATTTTCAATGTTTTCATTTCTTTTTCCATACGAATAAATAAATGTTTAAATTTTTCGAAATTGTACAATTTTCACTCGCATCATTTACAAGAAAATTCGTAGAATAATTAATAATTTAAAGATTATTTTTTGCTATACATATACGATAGATTGGAGGGGTTTTTTGCAAAAAAAGTGCTAAAAATATCACCTTGGCAGTTTTTTCTAGAGTCAATGCAATGACTAACCTCATGAGGCGCTCACCAAATACCATGTTTGTGCTGTTCTAAATATTAGATCATATGGATGACAGAAATCTCTTATGAAAATAGAGCAAAAAGCATACATATTGCTAACAGTTTGTGTTGAAAATTTATAAAGCTTCTTATACCCAATGTTTTGAGATAGTTGTTTGGTACCGCCAAGCTTTGTGCCGGATCGATCCCTACTGATTTTAACTTTTCAATGGTAAATCTGGTGGCGTTCTCTAAATCATCGAATACTGGGATCTTATTCAATTTGGCCACATCCCTCAAGTAGTATCGTCCACGATTGTAGTCATTTACAGCAATTTTTGTTAGCTGAAATAGAAACATATCAGCAAATTAGATTCATCAATCAGCTAATGATTGAATTTTCTTACCCGATCGTTCTCAATAGTGCATCCATCTTTTAGCTCTTTTATGTACAAAACAATATTATATCCCAAACCAATGTAATGTGCGGCCAATGTCATGGTGGCCAATGAACGTGATTCACTTGCAATAAAAAACAGTAAGACTCGGCTCGATTCCAACAGCGATTGATTATACAATCGAACATTTAAATTGTTCTGAGGCATATAATAAGTTACTTTCGCTCGTTTTAGCATTGAGATCACTTTATTTCGCCAATTCGTACGAAGAGAACTAATTCCATCCACATAAATGTCTCGTAAATCGAATGATTTTTTATCGTCGTTCAGTAATAGCTCTTGTTGATAAGAAATGGGAACACTTGAATCGCCAGTGATAATAGCTCTAGTTTGATGGAGTCCCGACAAAACTTCATTTGAAATTGGCACTGATCTTCGCACAACCAGCTCACGTAACATCTCTTGATTTGAGTTCAATTCTAAATACTCTCTGCAATATGATGAATTTTGTGATTGGACCCATTATTAAAGTAACTTTTGTAACTTACTCCGGAGAAATGGGTTCATTTGAAATACATTGACCGGGTTTATATGGATTAATTACCAACACTAATTTCTTTGGATCATGCCCAGCTATATAAGCGACTTCAATAGAAGAAGCGACAGCTCGTGTTTGTGAATCAATCACAAAAAATAAAACACACGCTTCTTCTTTTCTCCGATTCTCTGGTTCAATCAGATCTGGTGTCCAAATTGTAACTTGCTAACTTGAAAATTAAATGTATGAGAAAATGATGATTTCACACCAAAAGCACAAACCTACCGGATTATAAAATGAAATTCCCCATTTTTCCAGTGTCGGTATGGCAATGTCAGCTCGCCATGTCGTTGGATTAGTTGATCCACCTAAAAATACATCTGGCGCCGCATCGGATTTCAATCTATCTTCGTTATGATGATAATTCGTTGAACTCTGCTAAAATCAATGAAATTTGTTATTATTGATATCAGTAAAATTCTCCAATTTTAATAGAAAATTAGAAATAAGAATAAGAAAGAATAGAGTTCTTTGAAAACACGTTCAAAAAGAATGGTTTTTATTTTGTGGCGAAAATTATTTTCTGCTTTTATCTCATTCTTGTTCTTTTTCCCCGTTCCTTGTTTTGTTATAAAAACAATGACATAATTGCTGGATGAAAATAAAAGTGACATAATTCAATTATCTCTTTGGGCCAGATTTAATTCGAAGTAAACGGTGACAAAATCGAGAACTTTAAACTCAAGAGAACTTGGAATCAATTATTACTATTATTGCGTGGCAATTAAAATTATTAATGAACTAACCATAGCTCGTCTTTCAAATTATTTCTAATTTTCGAAATAAAATTTACATACCTTAATCAAAACCGTTTCTTCTTCTGCAGTCAATGCCAATGGTGCAAGTGTCTAAATAAAAACAATTCTCATAATTAAACGAATCTTTCGGAAATTATTCTTTTTGAAATTCCTACATGAACGAGAACCAAAATAACAAACAACTCGAAAAATGTCTTCATCATGAAGTTTGATGCTTCTGCTAACTGACACTCTCACACTGATCAGTGATCATACATTGTAATCTGATAAACCATATATAACTTGTTATCTATGCAGAGTTTGATAGCTGCAATCCGAATTGATACACGAGAGATAAAATAGATTCAGAATAAGACAGAGATAAAAAGAGATTCAATAGCTCAAGAAATTGAAAAATTAACCATCAAAAAGGAAAAAAAGTGAAAGGTCAAAACTTCAAACAAACGTATGATTTTTATGCAAATGTGCATTTAGTACGAACAAAATAAAAAAAAGAGATTTTGTATGATATTTCTTGTTTTATTCATATAATTGATAGATATTAGAGTAAACTTGAACTATCTAGATAAGATGTTTACCATTTGCAATAAAGCTTTGAAAATTTCGAAATGAAACAATTTTGACTCCCATCATATACTCTACAAAAAAGAGTAGAAATGTGGTTCTATGAATTTTGGTCGCTTTACTTTTGGTCGCGACAGACGGATGACTAGTCAATTGTCCGCATATGAATTTTTCTTTGTGTTCTATGGCTAAATTTTCTGTACCAAAGCTGTACTTCACTGTACCGCAAACCGTTTGGAAGTGTACCATACAGTTTCACCAATATCCGGAATCAGAAATATCGAAATTTGCGATTTAACGCAATATTTTGTAAATTTAATTTCTTTCGGTCTTTTTACTTAGATTAACTGAACCCAATGTGTACTCTCCAAAAACACACATATGAGGTTATATATGAAAAAACATAAATATAACCATCAATTGATTTAAGCAGACCAATGCATTATATTTCTTCACTTTTTCATTTTACAATGCAGACTTCTGCGTCCGTGCCATTTCAAAGGTACATAGAGAAAACACGGGCAAACATTGGCATCATACACTAATAAACAAAATTTGGGTGAGGTGAATCTCCAGCAATAGAACTTGTTTATAGATACTTTCTGCATTCACAGTTTTTTCCCATGTTGTCCAATTTTTTTTAAATGGTCTTTTTCGAAAAATCAAAAAAAAAAAAATTCAACTGAGGGTAAAACTCCACTTTTGCAGAAGTTTAGATTTGTCATGATCGTTTTGCTAGGTTTGCAATTAATAAACAACATATTTTAAATTTTTCTTACAACAAAACCATCTTATCAGGACAAATACGACTTTCCTACAATATAAAGTTGCTTTCATTGAGCAATTCCTATTTTGAGCTGCAAATTTTACACTCATCATAAAATGTTGCTAATAAGCTATGCTATTGATATAAATTATCGAATAAATTGAATTTTCAACCTGATATTTATTTTCAAAACATTTGATTTGTTTAATGAAATGTCAAATGCGAATTGAATAACATTGCTGTCTTCATTGATCTTAAATGCAAAAATCTATTTCATGACATACCAATCTAATCGGTACAGTTGATGAAAATAACGAATTATTTATACGTCCAGTCGTCCATAGTCTATTAATTTGCCAAAAAACTTGATTGCTCTCAGAACCAGTGCATGTTCAATATCTTTCGGGAAATGAATATTCGTTCGGTAAAGAAAGAATTTTGGAAACAGTGCGGAAAAGTTAGACTTACGGATGTAAATTCCTTTTTATTTTCTTTATTCTCCATGGAAAAATGCTAATGAGAGCAAAAAAAGGTAAAAATACGAAGAATTTTTGTAATTAGAGTGCATAAAAATGAAATCAACTTCAAGTGCATTAGTTCCATCAACTATTCCGCACCATATTTAGTTTTTTTACATATGCCAAGTGTGATTTTATTCAAAAACTGATCAACATTATATGCTATTAGATCAATTTCCAACAACCAACTGTCAGGCACAAAATAAAAATCTGGCAGAAGAAAGGAATAAAGGAGTTTTTCGAGCATAGATGAGTGTATAAAAGCAAAATATAGCTAAAACCAGTAAGGATTGGTGTTGTATTTGGCTCTAGCTTAAAATTCCATTTTGCAATTGAGAATGTCCCGATTTTCGATGCAAATTGGCGTAGTTCTAATTTGCATTTAACCGAAAAGTGATGTCGTCTAAGTACGGCAAGTGACTCTATGCATCACTTCAAATCTTCGCAGAATAAAATCGCATCTGAATGTGTTCCATCTGTCTGTCAACCGATTCCACGTTGCACGGAGCAAACCATGTTAAGTGCTGACGCTTTTTTTCTCTTTTCAATCTGTAATTTGCATTTTCGTCTGCTCTTTTAGTCGATTCACATAAGGCTGGCTCAACATACGCTCTGCATCGCTTTGCACCATCGGTAAATTATTGTATGTACGGAAAATGCGGTGAAAATGCTTTTTTTTAGTATTTCTGTTTCCGTCTGAAATCGTTTGAATATGATGATTTGTATGAATGCATTTGCATGGTCGGTCTGACATATGTCAAAAACATGAGCACCAAGTAACAAGCATCACTCAGTATTATATTATATTTCTTATGTGCAAACAATAATATTTAAGTACATGAATTTTGAAAAGTTGTGGAAAAGTACGATTCGATTTCCATGTGCATGAATTGTATTTGCTTTTCTTTGAACTCTCTGTGAATTTGGAAAACCAAATAATATTTGATATTATTTTGATGTTCAATCACACACCACATCACAGCAATACATCTATATATACAATACAGATATGTTCGATTTAAAAGTGAATTCAATAAAAGTGGTCTGCTGTCATATCGATTCCGAAACTTTCACACATGTTCAGTTTGAAATCGATACCAAATTAATAAGCAAATATAAAGTGATGGTTTGAATTTCAATCAACTCGTAGAAAATATTCATTAAGATAAAATTGAATACAATTATTATTTAACTAAAAAGAAATGCCGTTAGTGTAACCCATCTTTAAGAATTATGTGCAGTGAACTGCTGCTACTAAGTTGGCGATATTATGCTGTCGATGTGAAACATTTGCGCAAAACTGTAAAGTGCCTTGTAAATTGTTTTCGAAGCGTATACTATTTGACTGAGAGTGCCACCCATCGATAGCGTTGTGCTCGACTTTGCCCCCAAGTGCAAAGTTGATTTAATAAAATCGCATCGTATCGTGGCGCAAAAAAAGAACAGCGAAACGATAAATTGGTTGTCTCAGTGCGTCTGTTCTGTAAATGTTTCACCACTTCCATTCTCTTTTTTTTCGCGGACGTTTTTTTCAACCATATTTCACGATAATTTACTGCCAGTTGGCAGTGTCACGTGCAAATATTCTGTATGGTGATTGAGCCCCAACAGATGAGAGTGCAGGTGAAGTAAAAAAAAAACTCATCATCAAACAAACATTTTTTACACTTGTTGCTGAGGCAATAGTTCCATTGCAGAACCAGTCGAGTTTTCAATAATTAACATCACTTTTTATTTACTTATTGTGTTCAAATGGGTGAAGATTTTTTGAGAAAAATATTGAACAATGTACATATGTTCAACTAGCATTAATTGGAACATATTTTTCAATTTATGTTGAACAAAAAAAAACATTCTCTACAAAAACACTCGCAGTATCTGGAGTCAGAAGGGAAACTAGGTCCTATTTAAATATCGAGGAATGTTCATTTTCCTTCTTCTCATTTAAAACTGAAATCACATCAAATGATTTAATTTAGAAAACGTTTGCTGTAATTTTTCCTTCGAATTCACCAGCCGGACTGGAACTTCAATAGCTTTTTTTCCATCAACTTTGTGACTTGTATTGGCTCCAAAGACATCGAATCGGTAAATAGTAGTCAAGTAGAAGCTGAGCATCTTTTTTCCAGCATTTTATTTTTCATTTTATAAAAAGCAAATACCAATGAAGGCTAACACAGACAATTTTTCTCTTCCTGATTTCATTTTTCGCTCTAACGCTCCATTTTTTCCACGCGTATACACAAGGACTTTTCTATATCAATATTTAAATCAGATTGTGATTATTTCTTCCGACTGATTTTCTACCGCATTCTAAATGCGGTTCGCTTCGCTTAATGACTATATAAACAACTTGTTCCACATTGTATTCGTAATTTATTTTATAAATATTTATTCAAAAGATCAACCTTCACTTGTTTGTTGTGTAATTTTTATCCTATTTGCGTTTTAACTTTCTGGTATTTTGTAAGTGGCAATTGCATTGTATATTTTTGTGTCCAAATTCTGGTTTGATAATCCTAGCATTATCAAGCACTTGAGGTTACTACATTCGGAACAAATCCTTACATTTATCAATCCATTGGAAAGGAATGTGTCGGAACAATCTTCGCGACAGTCCTTCCTGCATTCATTCAGCCGAATTATCCACTGATTTTGGTCCATTTCGAGTAATTTCTCTGCCCTAACAACATGCGTGCCATTTCAGCTGTTCATGCCATAACTTCTACTCAGTTGTTCACCAATCACATTGAAAGATTTATGTTCATATTTTTTCTTGAACACATCCTTGGCAATTGATTGAAATCGGCGGCAGACTTTGGTCAATTGCAGCAAATCAATTGCATCATTTTTCATGAAAATGTTCTCTAAAAGTTCGATTGGCCAATTTTCCATGTTGCTGATTTGTGGAAATACACTTTCAACGTGATAAACTCTGTTCTCTAGTGTTTCCATATTTTCTTTGGATAGTATCTGTAAATTCAAAAACGTTACTTTTAAAACCAATTTATAAAGACTGATTGACATTTACACTTCAAAATAGTGCATCTGCCAGCACTAAACCTATTATTTTTCAACATAGGACTGGGTTGACAGCGACATTGACCTTATATTTTCATACAATTTTGGTATGGATCTGATTTCTATGGCCGATGAAATTATTGCTTGCGCCATTGACACTGAAAATACGATGTGAACCACGAAAGAGAAGCTTTAATGGTAATTAACAATTAAATCCGTGTGATGAGTTGAACCGTGCGTTAAGACATTCTTTGAGTTTACTGGGATTAAATTTTGTCGCTCGTATTTATCCTCTACCTTTTCTCCGGAATTTTTTGAGATTTAAAATGTCTCTGGTAGAGATTGTATTTTTTTCTT